GATGAGTACACCTATATGAAGGGCATATTTTCGGTGAAATATTAACCTAAAGTAAACTGTCAATGCGAGACTTGTAAATCCAGACAAGTGCAGAAGTTTACACGTGTCCCGGCCAGTTCAATGCCATGCGAGTGTCCGTTTAGCCAAGCAGAGACTATTGTGAACAATCAAAGGTGGCCGCTGTTGCCGGAGAATATCAACGAACTTCCTTGCCTCAAGCAGCTGAAGTAATAATCTGCGAGTGTGAGTGTCTTTGAACTGTACAGCTCAACATATCGACGTTGATTTATAATTGAAATTGTATATTGCACCGTTTGTCACATATTCAGCAAAGGAAAAAAAAAATGAATAAAAATGAATAAAGGGTGTCAATTAATTGGGTTAAAATTTTTAATCGACGCCCAGCCCCACTTTTTTTCTCTTCATGTAATGGCAGTCGTAGAAAATGTTTCAGAAAAACGAGCAGTGTTCACCCCAACTCACAGACAGAACAAGTGGCCACATGATCTAGAGCCAATTACCAGAAGCATACTATTTGGATTCACAATTTTGTTTTCTGCTGCAGATACCGGTCACCTAGATGTAGGCACGCATGTCCACCTTGACAGACTCCCACAGGAGCCGAATGCCCTTGCATCACTTGTGTGGCAGCTTCTTTATGCCCTGCTGGAACCACTTTTACAGCGGAGCTGTTAAGGGCTGGTTTCCCCAGGATCGTATCCCCCTCAAAGAAATGAAGACACCGAACTCTGGACACCTACCACCATCTATGAGCAACGGCGGCAAGCCACCTATCTGGTTGCCGCCGTCGTTCATAGGTGGCGGTAGCCTTTCCACTTTGGCTTGCCGACTCGCGGCCAGCCGTTACTTTTCATTGTACAGCTCCGCTGGTTTTCTTTCTTCACCACAGTGGAAAGGCTGAAAGTTTTTTTCTCGTCATTTGTCCAACTTTTGCATATTGCAGTCATATCGGTTGTCAGAGTCCTTTACTAAAAAAAACCACAAAAAAAAAAAAAAGATTTTTTTTTTTTTTGAGTTTTACATTTACGCTTGGACAGCTGCTTCCCGCGTATCAATGACTGCGAAATGCCACATTTTATGTGGTAAACACTGGGGGCCCGGTCAGGCCATACACGACTCAACATCCGACTGGTTGTTTGATATGCCAAAAAGACTGCTGAACCCGATCAGACACTGGCAATCACAGACTCACGTGAATGCAGCGGCGTAAACTTTCCATCTTCTTGGGGGGGGAGGGGGGGGGGGGCAGGCTGAGAAGTTCTTCGGGGGGGGAGGTGCTTTCCGCCCAAGTGGAAAAGCACCCCCCCCAGAAGCACGCAGGGATTCTATGTTTCATGCATTTTGTCAATAAAGGCAACGTGGGCATTATTTTGTTTACATGCCACTACTAGAAACTCGTTACATGGCACGTAAACAGCGTCACGGTAAGGATCATGGCCCGGGCCCGGGGAATACAGAGCCCCCCCCCCCCCCTGGATCTCATTAGGGGGGGACCGAGCCCCAATGACCCCCCGTAGTCTACGCCTATGCATGAATACACACGATGCAGCGAGTGGGTGGCACCTGATGAGGTTCGACAATCTTTCTGGTATGTCGTAGGACCAGTCGGACATTTGGTCGTGCATGCGTATTGCCTGACTGGTCCCCCAGTGGTTATCATCTGTTTGGTGCCTCGAAAAAATTATTCCTGCAAATTTGCATTTCAAGTTTTCTGGTGCAGGTAAGAGAAGTATTTTCTTTGTTTTTTTTTAAACTTTTACTTTTCCAACTGTAATACTAATACTTTCCAACTGTAATACAGAATAAAGAAATAAACAACCATGTTGCTCTCAGTAAGGCTGATTACTTTGTTGCTAAGAGTATAATAGCTGCCCTCCCATTTTTTTTTTGTAAGCTCAGTGTAAGCATGCTGGGTTCCAGGGTACAACACAGATGAAAATATTGCCAATGCTTACATAAGTGCACCTTCAAGGCCAGCATCATCAGATAGGTAACTAAAGAGGCAAAATGTGCAGCTTAGTCTACCAGTAGCTTTACTTACTGTGTAATAGAGGTCTTTCAGGCATGTGAAAAGAAAACCGAAGTGAAGTGGTTCAAATTAATCCTTAGTTCTTCCCGAGGCATCCATCACATCTACATTTGCTTCGGAAAATCAATGCCAAGCATTTTACACTTGCACATTTTCCCATTAAAAAACACAACACACAAAAGAAAAAAAAAAAAAAAAGGACAAGGGGAACACAAGAGAAGTAACTCTGTACTCACTCTTATTAATGTAGTGCATATATATTTCTGGGATGAGGAGGCAGAGGAATGTCCCCCTGCCTCTTCCCAGAAACCGCTGGGATGCTCGTGTAACTGGGCTTCGATAAAGTGGTCTGTTCTTCCCGAGATCGTACCACTGGTACGCTTAGGGAAGACATTGTTATCGTCGTGAGATATGCAAGGACGACGGAGGGAGAGGCCAAAGCAACGAAAAACTCTACACTCCGAGGTGGCCTGTGTGCAAGCGCTCTCGTGCAGTGTAAACGCTGCTCAAGACAATATTCTCGTACTTGTGTTTCTCAGCTCGCTCGCAGGCATGGGGAACACATTGCTTTCGGCGCGAGGCCGGCGAGGCTTCCACCTTCAGTGATTTTCTGGCATCGCGTGAGCGTCCAGCGTGATCCTGCATGCTTGTGGCTCAGCGGTTTTCGGCGGGCGGGGAGGACGCGCTGGGGTCAGCGCTGCTCTGGTGAGCAGCGATAGTTAGGATCGCGAAGGTTATGCAGGCTTGGCTATATTATCAAGATGCATACATGGGCTCCCCGATACATTAATTTGTAAAGAACTATATGACATTCTCTAAATAACCGAATAGTCCCGACAGCTGACTTGCCATAGCGCCGCCATTTGTAAACATATGTGCGTACTCTTGAACCGGAGCGCGAGGTGGCAGCGATTTTTGGTCCTGGTCATTGATGGCATGGGTTCGCCTTACTAACTTAAATAATAATTAAAACAAATTTCAAACAAGTGCAAGTATATAGCACAATCGACCCATTTGTATTTTAAATTAATCTAAAGCCGAGTATGACATCAGAGTAACAATATCGTTTTGTTGAAAAACTAATGGGTTTTTAATGAGTTAATAATATATTGACATTAAAATAGTTTATTAGCATTATAGTATGTAAAAGCTTTGCGACCCATGCCTTGTAAGAAACCGGATATGACGTTTTGGGTCGACGCAACGTTTAGCGTTGCGTCGACCGGGTCGACCCAACGCCGGCCTTTAATTTTCCAAAGAAGCATGAAGAGCCTCCTTGGAAAACACGGCACGGAGAGTTTATTCTGACAGCTTTCTCATGGTCCGGTAGAGGACATAAAACCCCCGATGAAATGTCAAGGTGCAGCTTCCTTTTCGCAAAACAAGACCGATGAACTTGTCAGGGCGTGCTCACAGACGACCGAGTTAGCGATGGCTACGACTTGTGGCGCCATCTGTCGACCGGACCAGCGAGTAGACCCTAGAATGCATCGGAACACCGTTTGGAGCGACCAGACGTCAATTTCGAAGCAGCAAAGAACACTCCTGGAGCACAAGCACTCTTCATTCCCATTCATTCCAACGGCAATGTTAAGGCTCATCTGTTTGCGTGTCCAACTTCTGTGCAATCGCCTGCTAGCATCCACTTCAAAGTATAAATTACAAAGGCCATTTAACGTGCACATGAACGACACCTTACAGGTAGATTCATAATGGTGTAGTCGGTGTAGTGAACATACGCACGATTGTGTGCCTTAGAAAGATCCAGCTTACATTTTCCAGTTTTCATTCCACTGCTAAAGTTAATTATGGTTCATATTTGTCTTCATTGACTGTATCCAAGACCAGTTGGGGGTCCATTCAGGGTTGTTCACTAAGCATCCAAAACAATCCCATCAATCAATCCTTTCCCGACACCAAAGCTCAAAAGCGGTCTGTTCCGTGGGTGTAACTTTCCTGCGGTGTACTTGTGCACAGTGAGAAGCGCATTTAACGGAGCTTAACAGACAGCGAATAAATGTATTACGATACTCCAAAGTAATGTGTCGTGTTTGACACTAAGATCAAATGAAATCATACGTTATTTTAAATGATAAACGAAAGTTATGAAAATTCGCGCAAGCTTATCGTGGCCGTGCAGCAACACCTGAAAAGCTTCCGTAGTATTGGTATAGTAAATTCTTGCTGCAATGTAGGCGCTAATGGACTTTTGCAGAAAAGAAATATTGGTTCGAGTAAAGGAATCTAATACCCTCCCTCTCTCTTCCTTCTGGCAGAGCAGAGAGGGAAGATGGTTTCTTTTTGTCGACTCCGGGCAGAAGGTAACCCACGTTGGGGACAAAGGTGAATTCAGGGGAGGCGTATGTAGGTCGCAGCGGCTCAATGGGCGAACAGGATGTAGCTGACGTTTTGGGTGTCAAACGGGCGGGAGAGGCCTTGCTTGCGCATTGTTTTCTAGCCACTTAGTCTCGAACCCAGTCGCGTGTTGAGGTGGCCACACATATTTGGCAAAAGGTGAATTCCTCATCTTTTGGTGAAATGTAGCAGTGTGAGCCCATTGTCGCAGCTAATAATAATAATAATAATAGTTTATTTCTCATCAAAATGATGAAGGGGAGGCCGGTGAAAAAATCTGAAAGGAACAGCTTGATGAGCCTCACCTCGGGCCCCTACAATGACGCGACAATCGCACCACAAGGTTTCTGCGTGTGAGCAGTGTCTTTAAGGTCCGGCCAAATGCGCTTGTTTCTAATGAGTTCGCGTACAAACTTTCATCAGCTTTAAAACCCCAACTTCTTTGAACAACCCCCCCCCCCCTCCCAAGCAAAAAAAAAATAACTATTTCTTAGATTTAATTAAAAATAAAAACCAAAAATGTGCATTGATAGAGATTATGAAAATGTATTTCAAAGCATTACTCAATCCGGAGATGAAAAACAATTACAACAGCTTTGAAGGTTTCAATGGCCTGCAATTTATTCAGCACAAACTATGTACATTTAGATACACTAGACCATGGCCAGACGAACCATGTGCCCAAAAAAGTTTGCTCATAAAACAAGACCAAATGATGTAAGACAGCGGTGCACATGGGTTTTAGCGTCTATCACAAGGGGAAACGTTTTGTGGACATGGGCGCACATTTTCACACGCATCACCAGATCCTTTCCAATACCATTTGTACGTAGCCTTTGCTGTCAACACCCTAGATAGACTATCCTAACAGTTCAACAGGGTACAGGTAATCAACGGTGCTAGGAGCAATGCAAAACAGAGATAATCCTAATGGATGCAACGTCACAGCTGTGAAAGGGCATGAGCACACACCGCCGCCAAACGCTCTCCGCCTCTTCCGAGCGTCTGCCAGGTGGCACTGATGGTAACGTGCGTCGGGAGTCGTCATGTTGCTGCTCGTACAGGCAGGGAGGCTACGTGCTGCCGGTGACGCGCAGAGTGCTCGCAGAGCAAGCATGCAGAGTATGTCAGTGTTCACACCGTCCGCAGCTCAAGTTACGCTATGCAAATGAGTGTTTGTGGGAAGGTACATTACATTGGCTACTGATACTCCAATCGTGTGAACAAACTGAGCGACGAAATGATTGAGCAGTGAAAATGTGGAACAACAGACTGACCGATGCTGCGGAGTCGGCGGAATGAACGACGTACGACGCAGCAAGCCGACAGAAAAGTTACGCACTCAAGGACACCAATTTAACGATACTCATTGTTAAAAGGCCAAGTGCTATTGTACAAAAATATTGTGTGGTATTACAGCAGCGAAGAAACAAACAAAATGCTCATCAATGTCTGCAATGACTCTGTACAGATAACAACAAAAACCATATGTAACAAAAAGTTGTAGGATGAAATAAGTCTGTAGATACGAAGGTGACATAACAAAGGCTGTAAACAAAATATCTTGAGCGATCTGAAAAATGGAATGTCTCTAAACGCGCATTAAGAAGATGGAGGGCTTAAGATGATTGCACTCCCAAACATAATGCAGGGGCGCCTGATAAGATAAAGCAGCCCACCAAGCGCATAAAAACGATTAAAATGTATCCAGACTGGTGACCTAACTCCGCAGAAGCCACGACCGCCGCGTCTTAAAAATGGTTCGCAAATCGTAGTAAATGGATGATGGTCCACGTCAGCCCCACATGACAAAGCGGCAAGTCTCAATCTGGAACATGTCTGTTGGCTTGAAAATGAAACAATGCCGCGCGATCTAGTAAGGCAAGTGCCAGACGGCCTAGAACAAAAAAAGATGCGTGTAAAGCACGGAACTGCCGACGGTATCTCGCAGTTGCCGACCTTCAAAATTCATAAAAGGCCATCACCGAAAAGGGGCAAAAAAAAAATGTGACTGCTTCAAATAAACTTTTTATAAACTGAAAAGAAAAAAAAAATCCAGTAAAATAAGACAATACAAACAACCCCCTGCCCCCCTTATCACAGCTCCACGCGAATAATAAGCTTTTCATCGTGTCAAAGCGCAGATAACTTGTGACCCAATCAAGCCTGCGCACTTCCAGAACAAGGTGGCAAAAGCGTGCAAAAGTAGGTTATGACATCAGGTTGGGTTCCTGCCTCAACAGGACAGAAATGTTAACATGTTAACCCAGGAGGGAAAAAATGGGGCAGACAACACAAAGCTTTAGTTCCAAGAAATGCTACGTGTGTGGTACTACAAAATGAAAACAGTAACAGAAAATATAGGAATATTTTTCTGCCAGAATTTCTGTTTGCGTTTTTTTTCATCACAGTCTACAAAGATTCATCAAAATCATCAGTTTTACCTCAATCAGATGGCGTCAGCTATAGAAAATAACCTATACTTGTTGAAACAATCACGAAATAGGCACTAAGAATTGTGTCTTTTGAGCCCAATTTACAATGCACCTTGAACTAGCGGTATTTCTTTCGTACATACAACCGCTCTGCCTTGTCGGCCAATCTAACAGCTCCAAACCTTTTTTTTTTCTCTCCATTATGGTCACCTGATTTGCCCTGCGAGGGTACCGCATGTCCCAACAGTGGCTCACCATGCAATTTTCAAGCAGCCTGCATTTATGGCCTCAGAAAGCAAGCAGAAAAGTAGGTTTTTGACTTGTGACAAATTCACGCTTCAAACACAACAAAAACACACTCTTCAGTGTCAGCGATTGCAGGTGCATCAGTGACTACTTAAAATACTGTGACCTTACGGTTGTAAAATATTGAGCAAGCACCTAGGGCTGCGTGAATGACCACTAATCTGTTACCGTAAAGCTGATCAATCTGCATCAATCAAACATAAACATAGCCGATTAAAATGCCACTCTCCAGCTGTCAATGAATTAAACAAATATTAACTCTTGTTCAATGTTGACCACTGGGCTAAACTCTACTCCAATGATGCTAGCTTGTCAATAAAATGTAACTGATTTGAATGAACTCGTCTGTTTATACATATGTCTTCTCCATTGCCTGTCATGGAATTTTGAGGTATATGAATAAGAAGGGAGGCTAAGAAATACCACGTGCACTGCCTCAAGCGAGAGATGAAAGTGGAACACTACACGCTGCAAAAGCGGCACAAGTAGACTTGTCAATAAAATTGCACCTTCCACACGGAAAGTACCACGGTGTTAATAAGGACAACTCCCGATATCTATTGCACTGGGACAAATTGCAGCTTTGATCACCTTTTAACGGATATGGGCTGGGCACACCTGTCCCGGTTCAAGCCACCTGGAATACCAGGATTATGGGTCCTTAGGAACCTTTCTGTTTATGAGCTTAAGGACCCTCAGGATTTACCAAGCCATTAAAGAGATCACCAGTCCCTCACAGTTTCAAGTCCCTAAGTATCCTTAATGAATTTCAGGACCCTCAGTATCTAATATACTTGGTACTTCAGGATCTAGGTCCTTCAGGATCCAGGTTTTTCAAGATTTGAGTTCTTCAGGATCCAGGTCTTTTGGGATCTGAGCCCTCAGAATACGAGTCTTTCAAAACCCAAGCCCTTCAGGATCCAAGCCCTTCAGGATCAGGGTCCTTCAAGATCAAAGTCCTTCAGGATCAGAGTACTTCAGGATCCAAGTCCCTCAGGATCTCGGGCACCCTTTGGAACCCGGATTCCCGTGTCCTTCAGGAGCAACAGTCCTTGTGGGAGATTCAAGGACATTCCTCGAGTACTCCGGCTGTGGGACAACCTTCTGTCTGTTTTAAGCGGTTCAACCCAAGAATGACGGGCATAACCCTACCCAGCTCAAGTCTGTTTGCTCAGACAACCACAACACCAGCAGACGTAGAAAAAAAAAAAAAAGCGCGACGACACGGAAACAACAAAACAAAAAAGAGAGGCTGCCATTAAGACGGCTCCGTCTTAAAGGCCCGAGAAGAAGAGGCTCCGCTGCCACCAAGGTCATTGAGGAGCCCCCTGCCATCCTCCATCATGCCTCCGTCACCGGCGATGTTGTTTCCGCTGTCGAACAGGCTGGCCGACAGGTTGACCAGCGAGATGTTCTGGGTGCTGGCCAGGTCGCTGATGTTCATGTTGAGGTCGCTCGAGTTGAGGCCGATGTCGTTGGGGTCCAGGCCCAGGTCGAGGCTGTTGAACTTCTCCGCCGTCTCCACCACCTCCGGCTCGGGCTCGTAGCCCCTGCTAGCAGACGACCCGTCCCGGTAGTGCGGGTTCATCGGGGTCAGCTGCGTCATGGTCGCCGTGGCAACACCGGCGTTGTGCACCAACTGTTGCTGCTGTTGTTGTTGTTGCTGCTGCTGAGGGGACTGATGCTGCTGCTGCTGCATGGCTGTCACTGCACAAACGATGATCAAAAGCTGTTTCGGATCTTACTGATGACCGCACGAAAATAGCTCTGGCGAAATTTTGATAGCCGCAGAGTTGCCTCAAAACTGGTTCAATACATTATCAGATATTTGAAAAAGAAACCTAAACTGCAGATCACAATACTCTTTTTTCACAAAGTTATTTAAGTTTTAATTTCGGCCCGAAAGGCCCTACGGGCAGCACTCAACAAGTGACGTCAGATGTTGTAAGATCTGGCAATATGGGTGCATTACAACTTGCTCCCGACGGGTTACGAGAAGACTGCTGGTGTGAAATGAATGCTGGTTAAGTTCATGCCAGCAAAACAAAAAAAACATGCTCGAAATACCGTGCTTTTTGGGCTGCCTGGTTTACCTACAAGTTGTACGGCATGCGACGCCACCCCACTGCACAGCACGAGAAAATCTGAACGCTGTTTTCGGCATAACCTTCATTTGCCATTCACTCGACAGATATTTTGAATTTAAAGATAATAAATAGCATGTCGAAACAAGTAAAACCAGGATATTCCGAAAATGTTTTTAGAATGGCTAGCCCGGAAAACCGCCATCTCCACATGGAATGCTTTGTAATGGAAGTCGCCTCCCTCCCTCCCTCCCTCCCTCCCCCCCCCCCCCTCCTCCTCCTCCCCCCCCCCCCCCCCAGAAATTTGCCCGTGTATGCAAACACAGATCCTCCATGGCGCGACTTGACACCATAAACATCACGCCACATTTCGTGTCTCCGAAACAAATTCAAACGATCGCTCCTTAAATACCGCACCCAAGCACCACAAAACTTCAAATACAAAGGCCGCCGAAAAATTTTCTTTTTCTACGTTTAGGTTTGCCCAAATAAACGCACGAAACATACCCACTTGGGGCGCGCAACAAATATGGCAGCCAGATGCAGTGTTCTCGGCGTCAATCGTTTTGCTGCCAGGGACGAGCCCGGCACTCTCTCACGACATGCGTGCACTGTGCAAAGTTTAGCGTGAACGCAACATCGTCGCCCTGCTGCTCTTCGCATTTTAGTCGGACAAGGTTGTGATGAGCACCACATTTTACCAGATAACCCTCATTCCTGAACCTAGCATAGGTTTCATGACAGCCTTTCAGTTGTATGAAAAGGTTCTCGTTCGCGTGATCATGCCAACAAAGACCAGGGAGCCCAGAATGTCCGCGGGCCTAGCGCACTCCACGTGTGGTTTGTGCTAGTTTTCTTCACTGTGCTCCACAGATGTTAGCCAGGCCGAAACCAAGCGAACGAGCACGTCGCACGGGCGCTAACTTCCATGTAAAGCCCTTCGTTTTCGGGTTTTCTATTTTTAAAAATCCAGGAAAGGAGGTAAAAATCGGGCACTATTTTCCAAGCTAGTACTAATAGGGGAGAAATCGGGTTTTTCTAGAAACTATTACAGAGTTCATGTTTTTCGAGTTGGGTATAAAAGTTAATACCTATAACTGACAATAAAAAGCGCTCATTGGTTTTAGGACACGGAATGTTTTATTTAAGCAAACAAGTCATAAACGTGCATATAATCGGATCAAAACGTGGTATAAAAGCTCACTTGGTAATTTCAATTGTGAACAAAGTTTTGTTGGCATACATAATATTACGCATGCGCAGCACGCCTGTCCCGATAGTAGACCCGTCCACTTTTCAGACATGTCTTAATTGCGGTAATGTTTTCTAAAGATAAAAGCTCCTGTTCGCAACACATGGCAACATCAGCGAGGCATTCAGTAGCCCGGAGTAGCGCTCTCTCATCAAAATTGCCCTCGTGGAAATAAAAGTTTTTTTCCAGAAAGTATATTACTCAAACATTTTTGCCACTGCTTCTGCAATGCACGCTTCAAACAAGTTTCGTTAATGAGCTCCCCATTTCCAAGCAGTGCAGATGTCCATAAACGTCCACAGGACATCCCTGGAACGTTGGGACATCCTACAGACATTCTCAGGACTTCAAGTAACACCTTTTGGCGGGCTAGTTGGTTCATGATTTGTAGAAATAAATGAACTGCGCAAAGGACGAGGACAGAGGTAGAAACGAGTACGGCACACGGAGCGCAGTTTATTTATTTCTACAATTCTCAGGACTACCGTAGAATACCGTGCATGCGCCCATACCACACTAAACGCCCACACCTGAATTCGTAAGATATGAAAATATATGCACGGCACATTGATATGTAAAATTGATGACCGGGCAAGTGCCCATCTCCCACTTCTTCGCGATTATCTCTAAATTTTGAGTGGGTGCTTGCCTAGTATTTTACAGTAAGTGAGCTACAAGGGTTGCTACAGTGCCAAAAAGCATGAAAATGGGTGAAGCTTTCGCTCCAAATTCAAAAGAAAATTGGGTTTTACCCAATTTTCAAATAATAAGGAAATAATAGGGAAATATAAAGTTTTTATCCGGTAAATATAGGGAAGTAACAGGTTAGTATAGGGAAATATAGGGTTTCACCCCAAAACTAACGGTCCTACTTAGACGGCTCTTGCGTGATGCATGACGTGAAAGAGGCGAGCGGTCACATGGTATGATTTTTAGAGCGTGGCTGCTTGCAAACATCTGTGGCACAAGTGTCTTTTCTAGGATTGCGCTCGTGCTACACGACGAAATAGACTGCCAGAGTTACGATCGCTTAGCCATACTCTTTGCCTCCACCGTTCCAAACATTTGTTTCGATAAAACCCTCGTAAAATTATGTGACAAGCCAAGTCGCAGCGATGTTGGGCAATGCAATATGGAACCGCACGTCACAGGTCTCCGAAACTTCGCTGGAAGGTCGCTTCAGCAGCGAGGGCAAGACGTGCAAGTTTAAGCCCGGTGTGTTACCCGAATTAAAAGTCGGAAATGATTTCTCGGCGATGCGAGTCGTTTTCATCAGGGATCTTCGTGGCACAGATCTGGAATCTAGCGACATTAGCGAGCTGTAACGTCAAGTGGTAAGCCTACAATCGCTACGCTTCCTCTCGACTCAAAATATTTGAGAAAGCAGTTCTAACCTTCGATTTGGGTAACGCATAAAACGAGGAACTTTCATGTCTTGCCTTTCTCCCTCTGGGGATGCCTTCCGGTGAAGTTTTAGAGTTCTGACATGCACGGCTAGAGTGCACGCCGCGAGATTCCCCTGAAAGCTTCCTCGGGGTGCGGACCCGGCAGTCCTGCGGGCTCGCAGGGTTTCGGGAACTCGAAAGATTCAAAACAAAGCCAGCGTTTGAGGACCAACAACAATAATAATCCCTTTAGAAGGGGAAGAAGGTGGACAAAGGACAGTCACAAATCTCCAAACAGAGCTAGGTGACTGGTACACGACTAAAAAAATCCTCCTGATCCAAGGGAGAAATCGGCGAACCGGAAGGCGGTATCCAACCGGGAACCTCGACTGAAAAAAAACCTGCCTGGTCGTGGTAGCGAACAAGAGACCTCAACGTCCAAAGAGGTTCCTGGTTCGATACCAGGACCAGGCAGATTTTTTCGGTCGCACACCAGTCACCTAGCTGTGTTTGGAGATTTGTGTTTGTCCCCTGTTCCCCTTTTCTCAAGGGATTATCGTTATTCTTGTCCAGTTTGCTTGCACCTCTGCATTAATGGCATTATCATCATTTGAAGGCCATCCCCTCGCAAAAGGAGGCGCCAAGAAGAAAGACATGTAGCAGACGAGACAGAAGCTGGAACGGAAACCAACGAGGCATACGGAACACGGAGGACGGACATTGGGGACAGGACGGGACAAAGAAAAAGGATGAAAAAGAAAGAGGAAAGCCTCACCCCTCTCAGGCCTGGCCTGAGCTCTGACCGCCTGCTTCATCGTTCTAGGCACCGACGCCAAGGGAGCTTTTTAGCACGGAACAAAAAGGGAAGAACACAAGGAGGGAAAGAAAAGGTCAGTGCCTCCCCCCGCCAAACAAAAACAAACCGAACAAACATGTGCTGTTAAAAAAGAAAAGACAAATTGTCTGAGATGACAGCAAACTATGCAAGATATATGAGCGTCAATCATCGTGGTAAAAAAGGACTGATACTCGAAACGGGGGGTGGGATTTTCGAATGAGCCTCGGTAGACTCGACTAAGCGGATTATCCGTGATTGAGAGAAAATATTTTTCGTGTCTCTTTTGTTAATGGGCCCTTTTGAAAAGTCTGTGCCAACGCCTGCACGTCATTGCCTGATCCCATACTTTAAGCATGTATTGGAAGGCTGCATCAGCGTTTGGCATGAACTCGGATGCAATCACGTGCTCTGTGTCAAAGCACCAATGTTGCTTGATGGACGTTTGAAAAGGGTCCATTGGTTGAACCATTCGACCAGAAAGAAAAATGGGTACCTCAAGACGAAAAGCGTTGCAAAGATAGTAAATATGTTTCTAGAGAAAATCAGTGCATGTAAAAGAGAATCGATTCCCATTCCACATTTTATTAATGTCGAGAGTTTATTCTGAGCACCAAAGTGAAAAAAAAAAAAATCTAATTTCACAGTTTCTTTTGTTTTTTTTAACCTGACGACTGCACTCGTGATTTCCTTGATCCCACGAGTTTTGACGACAGTGCTGTCAAACTGTCGTTTTTCTCTTTGAACTTGACGGAAGAATAAAAAAAAGTAGCACATTGGAAATGCAGACTAGTTTTAAAAGCTGACTTTATTTTTACACATAAAAAACTTTAAACCAAATTATTGACAACCTCAATTCCGATTTGATAAAAACAGGCTGTGCTAACTAACCACCTCTTTCCAGTCTCAAACTTCCATCACAGAAGTTAAAAAAAAAAAAAAAAAAATTAGCATTGGTTGTGTTGGAAGCGTAAACTCTGAAACACGTGAGGGTAAAAAAGAATGCAAAAAAAATGCCAAAGGGAAAGTATAAAAAAAAAACAAGGTGAAGAGAATAGTGAGCCAACTCACCAGCCGCAACTGCCAGCATGGGATTCTCCTGGAAGTAGCGGTCCAGGTAGCCTTCGCCAATCTTCCGCTTTTTGCGGTCTATCGCCTCGGGATCTGGAACGAGGAAACGAGAGGTCAGCTTTTCGCGACCTCCTTCGCCGCAAAGATCAATCGGGAAGCTGACCGAGAAAACTCCCAAATCTCCCGGTGTTGTCGGAGCCCCTCCACACAGGGCTCCTCCACTTATGGCTCCATTTATTTATTTATTTTTTTTCACATACGGAAACGTATGAGGTGTAAAGGCCCGTTCACACTCTTGCGACCGAGTAAGACCGAGAGAGACCAGACCGGTTTTTAAGCCTTTTGAGACTTCTTAGGACCGGATGCACTGCAGTGGAGCTGGTCCTAAGACATCGCAAGAGGCTTAAAAACCGGCCTCGTCTCTCTCGGCCTTACTTGGTCGCAAAAGTGTGAACGGGCCTTAACTCCTTAAGTGCCTTGTGGCACTTAAGGGGTTAAGGCATAAAAAACGCGTGAACTAGGTAAGACACTCACTAAATATGGCATACATAAAAAAAAAAAAAAAATCTGTAACAAAATGGCTTTTTCACAGAAAAAATAAAAATGATCATGTCGTGAACAAAAGGCATGCTACACAAACTTCACACAAACGGCTTATTTCAAGCAAGAGTAGTGTAAGGTAAGCAAGCTGGTCGTAGTAATTAGCATTATATCCGGCAGGAAATGTGTAATGCAGCCTATAAAGAAACTGCTAAAATGTAAAGTGGCTATGGGCTACAGCCAGAAAGCACCAGCACTGAGCAACGGTGATTAGGATCTCCGAGATCTTCGGCACTCCACAATCATCTGCCCCACGCTCCGTTTCGCTGTAACTATGAACGAAGCAAATGCTGCAAGCATCGGCGCAATGTCTCAAATTACTCTTTCGCCCCACGAGCGCACCCGCCCAAAGTATTCGGCACGCTCTCGTAGCTTCTTCTTGGCTCACAGTAATGAGTAAACTCACACAGCGCAGCAACCGCATAGGTGCGTCTCTCCACCCTTTTGGTGGGGTACAGGGTGAAGCAACTTCACGAGCTCGCGTACAAGCGTTCCTCGTAGCCTCTCCTTCGCTCACAGTTGCAACGAAACGCTCATACCGCGGGGGAGTCTCTCACCCCTCTCGTTGGGGTGCAGGGTGAAGGCCCTGGGCTCGCTGAGGGCCCCGTCGGAGGGCCTCCTCAAGAGGAGGTGCACGTCCACGGGGTGCTCGGCGGGGGGCTCCCGGTAGCGCGGGGTGCGGAAGCAGATGGCCACCTGCTTGTGCACCCCGTTGGGCAGGATCTCCGCCCGCTCCTTCCACACCGTCAGGCCCTCCCGCTCCTCCTCAAACCACACCTCGATGTCGTCTGCAAGGCCCGGGCGGAGACGACTACGTCATTCGCCAGGAATGAAGTTCACAGGTCCCGTGCATTTTGGCCACTTCAAAACGCACTGGTTGTCCCAGCGGGTGGTCCCCGCGAGCCGATATTGCTGGCGACAAATTAATATACGCAAAGAAGCGGCAAAACGTCACTCGTCAAATCCCTCCCTTGTTCTTTTCTAGCTTACTTGGCAGAAAAACACCAATGTAGTGCAGTGCATAAAAATGAATGAAGTTGACGAGGGCTCAAACTTCATCTCGTCGCGGCAAAGCAAAGACACCTAACCTCTCGCATGCTTTGTTTCTCAGGTTTTCTGTCGCACTCTTTTATTTTTCATTCTCTCTCTTGGGACCCCCCATGTGGGAGCTGAGAATTAGCCGTGTTCTGCTTCCGTCATCCCCCTGTTTACGGGCTGCAACCTTTCTCGGTAGACTTCTCTGTACAAGTTCAGTTAGGGATGTTGATCCAGAGGTTCGACTGGTTCAGCAAACCTTTAAACTTTCGACAGAGTTCGACAAAGGATGAATGGATGGATGAAGAGACGGTAATGTATTGGGCGGTAGCTTATGCCATCTAGCTTAAAAATATCTACACTCCTCCCTTTAAGTTTTGCTCTGAATTGTGTCCCTCGTTAAATCGTCTACCCCACCAATTTTGCACGTTATCAAGCTTCTCTAGACCTTTTGCACCCTAACCTCATTCTCGCGACAGCAATCCTTCCATTTTGATTTTTGAACAGTGTTGTCCAACTTCTGCGCAAGAATTTAAAATCTTCGGTAAAACGATTACCGCAGTATATTTAGTCCCGGGTTCCAAACATTGTAAAATCAAACAAATAAACTTTCAATGATGCAGACAGTTTGCTGATGTAAAGCACTGCAGGAATACACCCCACAAAATATTGCACGCTCTGTTCGCTAGGTGGCGCTAGCTTGTCCTCAGTTTCCGCACATGTGCTTAACGAGTAACATATTGTCAGACTTCGCTAAAAGAAGTTTGAAAAATTTTGGGACGACACAAACCTGCCGAGGTCTGTGTCATCCCTAAATTGAATGCACACAGCATTGCACAGCCAGCGCAAACAAGCAACCAGCTGTTTTCCCGTTTTTCTCTCACAATTAGTCGGCTGCTGTGAAACCTTACTTACACTCCTTTTCACCACGAGAAAAAAAGCAAGTTTTGCACACAGTTCGTACGCCACGCAAAGCAGTTCTTACAAGATTTGGTCGTCGGAGGAAGGGGCGATGCTTTTGGCGTTTGAAGCGTGCACGTCTTGATGAAATAACACCTATCTAACCTAAGATACAACTACACATCTCTTAATTCTCCGGAAATTAGAAATGCTCCACGAGGGGCCGGACTTTTTTTACTATGGTTCTTGAGGTGAAAATTAGCATAGTGTTGCGGGCAGTTTTCATTCTCGCCAGCAACCTAAGCTGTAAAATTCGATGCCTGTCAACACTCTGCCCAAGCAAAAGGGCAGAAAAGCACCGACGGTGCATTCACATTAACAGTGTTGTGCAATGTAGAGATGTCTCCAAGTATACCACATCTGTTTCTATGTAATACTTTATAATTATGTGTATGTGATAATTAATGTCGACTGTTAGTATTTATTTTTTGCACTATTAGAAAGAAAAGTGTTTCAACCATAGTTTTTGTTTTTTTTTATACTTTTTGTGGGCCTAATAAACAGTATTTTTTTTTTTTTTGGCCTCTTATTGTATATTTTATGTCAACTTGTATGTTTCATGTGATCTTCTGCCTAAATACCTGTTGCAGCCCCTGCAAGAGGTGACTGGCATTCATAAATAAATACATAAAAGGTCGCAGAAGAGACTACAGGGGATATTCACTGGAAGACATATTTAAGGTCCAAGTCAGATTTTATATTATAGATGGGTTATGGAATGAAGATTCCCTAAGACTCAACAGTCCAACAGAAACGAGGTGCAGAATGCTGCGGAAGACGGGGCCACGACACAACGAAAGCAAAGGACAACGTCCTGCAGTGATGCCACTCACCCTTGGCCACCTTGTCGCAAAGGAGGATCATTTCGAGGCCACCAGACACGGGAGCGCAGGTGTGACTCAATTTGGTGATGGTCAGATCAGACATGGCCTCTGCAAAACAAGCAGTGGAGAAAAAACCAAACAACTGAATTCCAGATACCTCCTCTCTGTTCGGCGGTGCTTCAACGTAAGTTCTGCGGCAGTTGCCATGTCCAGTTACGTCTTGAACAGCGTGCCATATTATGAAGAAAGTTTAAGAATGTTGCCCCAGGGGCATCATGCCCTAAACACTTTTAGGTGTTGCTAAAGGTATGAGACCTTCTGGCCTATTCTAAATTCCAGTAAAAAAAAGAGGTCTGCATACACGTCTTGTGTAAATAAACTATGTATCGCAAGAAGCAGAGCTCTGTGAGAATAGCCACGTTTACATGAATACGACTCAGCCGCACTGAATCCAGTGGTTGCATTCCATGAGGTCATGCAAACAGCCTAACTCAGCAACACGCATTCAAGTCGCTAGACAGAGGTGAATCGAGACGGCGAGTGCGCATTCATTCAGCCCATGTAAAAGGAGGTTAAATCACATTTTGGAACGAAGAGGATTATGGGAAGGCACTCGCTGCGGGAGTGAGTGAACAGCTGAGAACGTGGCAGCGCCCAACCTATCTCGTGTGGTCGCCCGCAGTTTTTTCCCCCGAGAAGAAACGCAAGCTTTTATTGCCATCGCAAGTGAGCTGCTCAGTGAGGGCAGCCCTGTCGAAGCCTTGCAAAGTACGACTAGAGCGTCCGAGGGAGTCCCTAAGGGCTTTGGCACAAGCACAAATGATGCCGAGAGCTCCGAGCACTGCATGGTGGCGCAAAACGAGCAGTTCCTGCTTCGGGGCCATTCCTGGCTCCACCGGATCCTTTCGGCCTCGGGGTTCGGTTGGTCCCGTTGAGGTTGGCGAGGTTTGGCGAGGCGAAGCACGGTGGAGTCCTCAGAGCGTTTGGAAACAATCTCGCTCGCCACGACATGTGCCCACACGTCGCCTCTGGCCCGGAGGGGCTCAGCAGCCCAGCCCGGAGCCCACAATGCTTGTGCTTTGATGCTCCTTCCGTCTCGTAACTTCTTCCACAGCACCGAAGACAGCGAGCATAATCTCTATGCTCGCCGAAAGCGTCGAAAGGCCTTCACGTGCGATGCACCGGAAAACATGGTCACGTGGTGCGGCTCGTGCCAGAAACGCAGCTTGGAGCTTTGACACGGTGTGGTGCCACCTTTGCGTAGGGCTTGCTGCGCATTCGCGTAAACGTTGCCGCGTTGGCTTCATTCGAAGGACGAGTGGAGTCGATGCGCTGGCGTCAAATTCATGTAAATGCAGCTAATGTGACGGTAGCGGATGGGATAGAACAGAACTGTTTGAGAACATGGCATTACTTGAATCAAAAGATAGAAGAGAAAGACCAAATTTCTCTATAAGCCGACGTCCACCTAAGCTTAATATCGTCAAAACAAGAAGTGACCATTGTGGGCGTATCTTTAAAACTTATTTCAGTGAAAAAAAAACACTTCTCAGCAAGAAAGAAAACCCCATTCTCTTTCTTGCTGCCGTTTTTCACACATACAAATGCCAGGTGAGTCCACAATGTCAGTTCTTGTTTTGAAAATACTACCGTAAAATACCGGGGGAGTACCCACCCTATCTCCACTGAAAACTGGGCTAATCTAGGCACAGGTCATAGTCCAGTTGGGAATTCTGCGGAAATGGGCGCTTCTGCGGTATTTAATGGTAGGCTTAGGCCTTTGCATTCTATGCTAACCGCTAGCGTCACATTCTCGCGGAATTTCTGCTTCCCGCAATACGCAGCTTCTCTACACAGGCCGATGTAACGCTGTTCTTTTTACTCGAAAAGAACGCCCGGCGCGTTGGAACGGGGCGAGTCTGGACTCACTGCGGTCGTAGATGATCTCCGAGACCACCGGGTGGAGGGGCACCGTGTATTTGCCCGGGGTCGAACCCTCCAGGAAGACTTGGAAGCAGAGCCGCACAGCGTTCAGGTCGATACTCCCGGCCTGGTCCTTGTGGTCAAAGCCGTCTGCGAGCCGACAAAACCCGCTCTAGAAACCGACGCAATCCGATCTCGTTCGACGATCGGACCATGTGCCGTTTGCAGACGGGGGAGTCGGTAGCTGCCCGTTTCAATGGGGAAGGGTATCCTACCGGCGTGCGGCCGTGAAAACGCTAGTGAATTTCACACACTAGACAAAATCTGAGCGAGCAGTCGTGTTGCATTTAGATGCGTTAGCATCAAGGCTGGGCAGTATCTTAAAGATAACTTCGAGTACCTGTATCTTTGTATCTCAGTAGTGAAATATATTTACGACATATCGCTTGTGTCGCAACATTTTGCCAAACTTAGGCATCTGTTATATTTGTTGCCTTTTTTATGATAAATTTAAAAGATAAAAAAAAACAGTTGGGTGCAAGTGGCTTTGGAATTTATGACGTGAACCTGCCCATAACATGGTCCATATCAGTCACAAACATAAAAAAAGAACTGTGGTTTAGAGGAAGTTATTTGCAAGAACAATAAAATCAGTTCCCCTCACAAATCCCTCCACTTTTTCCAATTTAGCGGAGCAAACGCTGTAAAGTAGTTTATTGGAGAAAAGGAACGGCTCTGTCGTTTGATCTTCCCACACTATGAGTGACTCGGAAAGTAATAAGACAACAGTTTGAGATGCGCCCTCATGGCAAAACAGGGTCCATTTCCGGCAGACCAACTTTTGTACCGCATGGCACGCACTCATTACCGTTCTGTAACTATGTGGTTTAACAGGGGTGACAGCTTTTTAGCGGCATTATATAATAATAAGTAAAGAGTGCGAGGTAAGGGGTAGAGCGCAAAATGGCACAAAAAAGAGAAGCACGAGCATAACTTTCCATTTGCATTTGCCACTAACTACACATTCCCCACGTTCGGGAACAAAATCTATTTCTATAAGTATCTGTATCTGTATTCCGGAATACTTTTTCGCCGTTTTTGCGAAAGTATCTTAGGGATATCCCGTTGCATAAGAGATAAATGTATTTCAGTATCTATTTTGGACCTTAAGACACATGTATCTCAGTATTTGTATTTGCGAATACTCTTTGGAATATCACTGCCCATCCCTGGTTGACATATAACCATTAACGTCGCATCTAGATTCCAATCCCATCTAAACTTCCCCACTCACTATAACTGGTGAATATTGATTGTCGAGCTTCGGGTCAGGTAACGAATATTTGCGCCAACCTGTCATATTGGCCAACCCTAAAAACATATCTGGGAGAAAAAAAACAACAAGAGGAGGCACGGACGATGAGTCGACTCACTCTGAAATGGATCCACCCTGATGCTCTCCCGGTCCGCGAGGTTCTGCTCCACATCTCTCCGCTTCACACACTGGATGCCCAGACTCGTGAAGCTGCAACACACGGGTGAGAACACCGCAAGTCATTACGCCGCGAGTTACCATGCACCAACAAACAGACGTTCAGCGACTCCTGGACTCAAGACCTTGGTAGCCATTGGCGCGGCTGGACACATTAGTGAAGCTCCCTTTTTATTAATGCAGAATCGCATCCTTACTGAAGCTAGCTCTGATATAGAGCTTCAAAAAGTGAGCGAAGCGTGGCAGGCCGCCTAACACCTGCGCTGCAAGCTCCGCCAACCACACACTAAAAAAAAAAAAAAAAATACAGAGAGGAGTTTAAAAAAGGTTTGCCAACTGCATAAACTTAGAAAACAAGAAAAAATAAATGGTAGAAAAGGAGGATGTGGCAACGCTGACAAGGCGTCGCGTGCCTAAAAGACTGAGACTGGAGTTAGCGTCTGCTGCGTTCCTCAGAAAACGCAACGGACCTTTTTCCGGTAAACCTCGGCGCGTGCATACACCCTCTCCTGTGACCTTTGCTTCCTGCTGTCGGCATTTTCGGAGGACATTGTTCTGCACGACCAACGTTGTCGGCACCTACTCGTGCGCATATTTCATCTTTTTCCACCATTCTTTCTAGAGTGCGGGTAGTATGGGGCATAAAAAGCAACAAAAGCCAATAAAACGGCGAGATGATGCATTCTAACGGACGGAAGAACGCTGGGATGACGGCAGGCTGCCCTTCATTTGTGGATCGCAGACAACTCCCCGAGACGGCAATTGTACTTGAAAAAGGTCCATTTTACGTACGATGGTTCGATCAATCGATAAGTAAAACTGCTTTTTTCTCTTCTTCTTTTTGTGATGATAAAAGACTGTTTTGATTTACAAACATCTTTCTCTCACCACAGATCCACCAGCCTGGCAAAGTTGCAACATACATGCGCACACATTGCAAGTCGTCACGCAAGACTGACCAGGAAGAAGAGGACATTTGCAGACTCCCGTCAGCAAACGGTCTATTTGCGATGCGCAACAGGGAACTATTGGGCACCGCACTTGATAACGGCACCACTTGACGCCATTCAGAATAAATGCCTCTAGAAAGACTACAACGTCGAATATGCATTATGCATTAGAATATGCAGCTGATAACAGTGCCACTCGACCGCAGCGAAAATAAACACGTCTAAAGAGGCTATCGGGTCTACCCTCCCTTAAGGTTTATCACATGCAAATACTCCTCCACTCGGTGCAACATGCTGATGCGGTAAACAGGTTTGCTAGAGTGGAGTAATTTCGTGATAAGTGAGTCTTGGTAAGTAAGGAAAGAGCTGCTAGCAATTCTGCTGAGCATAAAAAAATTTCAGGCTCTATTTATGCATTCATTTACACAATATCGAAGCTACTAACCAATTTAATAACTATGACAGAAGACTTCATTTTTGAGGGAGACCTAGTTTGGATAATACCTTTATTAAGATTTAGAAAACATAATTTACAAACCGATGCCAACAGGTAATTTTACTATTTCTTTCGCTTATATTTTGTCAAATTTAGTACCTGCGAAATATTCTACTTCTGCCCAAGTTTAACCTAAAAAAAAAAATAATAAAGCGCTTGAAAATAAAGTAGTTTACATCATTCAGAATGTAAATGATGATTTCTTTTATTAAATGCACAACGCCATTGGTGGTTTTCGAAAGCAAACACTTACGAAAACAAAATTATTTTTGCCAGCAGCTCATAAACAAGACTGTTAAATAAATAATAACGATGGTTTTAATATTAATACCCCACTGCCTAAAATACACCATTCAATTTTTCCAGTAAAACACTGCTGTCAAGACACCACACCCTTTTTTTCCTTCTGTAAAGTTGCATCTTAAAGGGCCCCTGAAAAGAAAGAAAATTTTTCTTTTTTTTAAACAATCTAATTGGGACATGCGTAACAAACAACATTTTATGCGAAAATCTTTTTTTAGAGCAATATTGATGACGAGATATTTATTTGAAGTTCTGCAGCAAAGTCCATGACGTCACAGAATGGTCATTCGCTCTTTCCACCTCAACGTGAAGGTGAAGCCGATCCACCTCTCCTCCAAGCGCTCGAAATGCCGAGGGAGAAAAAAAGTGGGAAAGGAGGTGAATCGCATTTTGCGCCGTCAATATTGCTCTTAAAAAAACTAGTTTTTTCGTATAATTTTTTTTTTTTTTTTTTTGATTCGCGTGTCCCAAGCAGACTATTTAAAAAAAAATATATATTTTTTCTTTTCAGGGCCCTTTTAAAGGCTCGAAATATCAAACCAAAACTATGCGGGTAGGCGCAAAGCTGAATACCCTTGTCTCTGGTAACCTTTTGAACGTGTTAAATGCGAACACCAAGTGCCGGGGTTCGACGTCTAAGACAGGCCCTCGTAGATCGGCTTTCGGCAAAAATACTCGCACGCACAAACGCCTGACCAGTGTCTCTTCAAAACACAATGTTCAAGGTGGTGATATTCATTATGATATCAACATAAATTGTAAACTAAAAAAAACGATGTTGGCAGCTGTGCCAACGTCGTTACTTGATTCCGGTCCCGCACTACACACCTCAGTGTGTCGGGAATTTAAAAACTTTAGTTAAAGAACCACCTTGACGACAGACTATTCTGGCAGTCGGTTTCCCCACGACTTGGTGACGAAAGAAAACTTCTCAAATAGAAATTGTTCCCGCGTTTAAAACTTTGGGCGTCATTTTTCAAGAAAACTTGTTATGGGACGACCATATTAATCATATCGTATCAAAGTTATCTAGCATCGTCGGTATTCTATACCGTCATAAATACATCCTACCACTTAGAACAAAGTTAATATTATATAATTCATTATTTTATTCACATTTAAATTATGGTCGACTCATATGGGGCACTACTACCTATACCAACCTCCACAAAATCTTTATGCTACAAAAAAAGATATTAAGAAGTATCTCTAATGTGCCACTAGAACATCCAACCGATGATCTTTTTTGTAAGATTGGTGTGATGAAAATTTTTGATTTATATAAATATTGTTTATGTGCAAGGTATAAAATAGAAACAAATTTATCCCAATGTCACCGTAAAAACTTAGCGAAGATACCAGATAAAATTTATAGGTACCCAACACGAATTAAAGAACCTTGGGAAGTACCCTTTTTTAGAACAAACTACGGCCACCAAAGTTTAAAATATACTTTGCCCTCTACCCTTAACCAGCTTAGTAGGCAAGGCATTGAGCTTAGCAATATATCGGTGAGCATCTTACGAGAAATGTTTATTTCAAATGTTTATTTCGAGCCAAATTGTCCGTGATAAGCGCTAAAATCTTTTGAATCGATGGTTTCTTTCGCGTTTATTTCAGTGGTGTTTAATGTTCTGTGTGTGTATTCACTTTTGTGTAAACTGTATCAATATGCTACTTATCTTGTTTAGCGTCAGTTCTTTCTTTGTAAAGTTCTTCAAACATGTAGTACACATGTCATGTTTCAATTTTGTATAAACCTTTAGTGCCTGCATCGCGACTGCTGGTGTAGGTGGTTTGGGGCTCGTCAAGCTGTTTTTACAGCTTTTTTTCCCAAGACACCTTTTCAACATTGTTTTTGTCGGAAAAAATAAAGGTACTATTATTATTATTATTATATGTATCGTTGAAGCGACCAGGCCGGGCCCTTTACGTGACCGAGAAGACCTCAGAGGCAAGAATCCTTCTATGGTCGCTCACACCTTAAGACGCCCTAAGAAATACAGGACGGGCCGAGCCTCGGGCATTTTTGATATCACCTTGTAGCCAATGACATTGCAAAAACAAACCAATAAAAATACAAAAAAAAAAAAATCACGAAGGGAGAGGAGTGAACACAGTGAGCCCCGCCCCGCCTCTCTTGGGCCGTTGGCGACCGCAGTCGTCGCTCGCCGTTGGCCCTCCCCGGCTCACCTGCAGGTCATGTCGGGCTTGAGGTATTGGGTGCAGATGCCCTTCTTGCAGCCCTCCTTGCCCACCAGGTTGTGCGGGTGAACCCGGTACGGCTGGTCCTTGGTCACGCACGACACCACCACCGCCGCCTTTCCCTGGTGGTGCATCACCTGCAACACAGCAACACCCACTCCTGAGGACGCCGGACGTGCGTACAGCGGGGGCGGCCGGACAAACATACTCGAAGAGCCATAAGAAGGAACCATTTTAAACTAAGAGCCACAATAAAAAATAACATATTACTTTAAAATAAAAATAATTTCCGCCGGCCGACGGATCCCCAGGTGGCGGGTTCGAATCCCGACCGAGGTGCCCGCAATATGACGGAGGCTTATTGCGGAGAAGGCGCCGTGTAACCGAGCTTTCGGTTGCACGTCAAAAGATTCCCAGGTGGTCGAAATTAATCCTCAGCCCTCCGCTGGGGCGTGCCAGATGCCCGTCGTAGGTTTGGCACGTAAAACCCCAAATTTGACTTTTTTTAAAAATAATTTCCAATTTTAGTTGGTAGCCTAGGCGAATTCCACTTGTAAGGCGACTGTCCACCATGTTTCTTTACTGTGAGTCCCCGTTCCTAGCACAAGTACCTCGTCCATTTGTATTTTGGTACATAACTAACAAAACACAAGCAGCAGCCTTTTTTTTTTTCCGTCGGGGGTAGGTTTATTGGGGAGCCACAGGCCATACTTAAGACCCCGAAGAGCCGCAGGAGGCTTGCTAGCCGCAGTTTGGCCGCCCCTGGCATAGAGTATGGAAGTCGCAGCGTCCTACAAACTGACAAGCAAATTAAACCCTTTCTCGGGAGCACTGTGTTTGAGAGAAGTGTGAACGACGCAAAGGTTACGTACGAGCACGGCTTCTCAAGCTGGGCTCCGACGGACCTAAGGGTTCCTCAGAGTACACATAGCCCCTTGCCTCAAGCACATAGCCGGGGAAGGACATAGAGCCCGGCCCCTCCCCCCCTTCCCTTCCTTCTTCTTCTTCTTCTTCTTCTTCCCCCTTCCCCCTTCCCTTCCCTTCCCCCCCCCCCCCCCCCCCCCCCCCCCCCCCCCCGAAATCTTGGTCTCTGACGGAGCTAAGGGTTCTTCAGGGTACCCATAACCCCTTGCCTACTAATTACGAATGTCACTCGAGCCACTGTTTACGGACCGTAGAGCTCGACCACGAGCGTGATTCGTGTTCCGGTTTTGGCGCTTATTTGGCGCACTCTCCGGCAAATGGCACAACCACCCCTGTTGCTCTACTTACCTTGGGTTGTTTGCTCGTTTGTTTCGCAGTTTGACAGACAGAGAACGCTCCATTGAGCCAAGGAAGAAAAAAAGTAGTCACTCGTAAGCATTTGCGCTAAAAGAATGTGGCCCTGGCCCGGAGGTCCGCGTTAGCCGACGAAGGGATACAAAGCCTTCTTTTTGAAAGTCATCAGTGCTCAGGCATATGTAACGATAAATCCTTCGGCCTTTCCGATTTTTCGGAATCAGACAATGGTTTTATGGACAGTGACAGGAGTGAAGAAAATTATTCAAATCCTGAAAGCATTCCATCGACTTCGTCGTCTGCACGTCAGCGGGACTCGGACCAGAAGTCCCGATTTAGAGCATGATACGATGCCTGAAAGTCTAAAAAATGTTTCTTGTTTTATTTTAATGCAAATTGCCTGTTTCAAATAAAATGTTGTTGTACTTTCCTCAAAGAAAAAGACACTGCAATGAAAAAAGAAATTTCTTTCTAAAGGGACACAGATATCAACAAAAATATTTACCACAAAAATTTGATTTTTTTTTAGCAATATTTACGTTGCTTGACGCAATTTAGGTGCAGAATGTGCAGGTCGCAGCCCGCTAAGCCCAGCCCTGTGCTTACGTCTCTCACTGGCTGGAGAGACGATTGATGCAAGAAAGGTTGGTTGTAAATTTGTATCTCGGAGCCGTTATAGTATTTTAATCAACTATTTTTTATGTTTGTGAGACAAATAATCTACATACCCATTATTGTTTTCAAAAATATCCCGAGATTGCATTTCTGTTTCGGTTTCAAACGACAACGAATATGGATGCCAGAGTCTGCAGAGTGCTGAACGAGCTTAGCTCGTCGAGCTCTTCAATTTTTACGAGTGAGGGTGGTTTCGAGTTTACAGAGGTGTTTGGAGGAAGATCTCCTCAACCAACATAGTTTGCAGCAAATAACTGTTGCAAGTATGTGCCTTCGGAAGCACTGTGCGGATGCTTGTTTACGTAGCAGGACTGGGCTAAGCCCAGCATTCCACACTAACTATTTTGATTGATCTGGCTTGATTTCTTTCTTTGCACGTGTTGATGCTGAACAAAGATGTTGGTTCCCGTAAAAGCGGCCCCCCTGCTCTGGGAATTCCGCAACCGTCGTGATTGCGACCATGGCTTCAATCCCGAGAAGAAACCTACACAGGTAAGAATTTGCGAGCCATTTTGGCTGGAGGCAATCTGGCGTTCGGTTCGCATCACTTTAGTCCAGGTATGTTCCCGTCATTTCACTTCGGACGGCAAGTGGCTCTCAAGTTTTGCCGTACACCTGGCATGCCATAGCGAATAATTTTAGGTCAGGTTTTAACTGTGTGTCATGGCGTGGTTTCATCTTGCTCGCGAATGCCATGCAAAAAAAATAACGAGAACATCAAAGCTGAAATGACAGCATATTTTACCACACATCGACAGACGCCGACAGATGCCTGTAATAAACCGTCGCTCGCGCATGATGGAACGCTAGAATGCCACTTTCATGGTTGAGTCTTGCGAGCAATGTAGAAGTTTTTAGACGGGGGAGGAATAGCAATCGGACGAAGGCGAAAATGGACACCGACGGGCAGCGTTCATGTCCGCGTTCTTCGGGCATAGCAGACGACCATAGACGGTGGTAAAATAGCAGACGATGCCAGAGGTTGCCGCGCCTCTGCTCGCAAGACTAGCGGGTGTTGTCAGACGCCAGATTAGATGCACCGGATGTCGGGCTTGTTTAGCATGTTCGGCCGAGCAGCCAAGCCAATCCAGTAGTAATGAGTGGGGCAACTGACTTGTGGGCGGGGTTTAGAGTGGGTCGTGAACTTTACCTAAATTCCGTCTAATGACGTAAATATATTGAAAAAAATTTTTTTTTTTTTTTCGTAGGTAATTTACGAAAAGAAAGTGTCCCGTCTATGTTCTTTCAAGAAGTCTTTTTTTTATTGCAGTGTCCTTTAAGGATTTCCCAGTGTGGGCAACTCTGGTTAATTTAGAAAATTCTGGGATTACGGGCGATTATCATGTTAAAGCTACTAATGAACGGTTGTATGTCGTTTGTTTTCGGAAAAGTTAAATTGTTTTCTTGCAAACCTCGTTCAAATGAAAATCACGAAACAGGCAACATTGATCCGGTTCGTCAACTATTTGGCATCATGTGGTACAGAGACGTTGCCTATGTCATCAACGAAAGTGCCAGACTGCGCCTCTCTCCCTTCCTCTCGTTCTCGTGCTTCGTGCCTCGAAAAATAAGAAACAAGCAAAACAATATTCCAGTTGTTTACATTCCGCAGTGTTGGCTGCATCCACACAGCAACGTTCACCGCGCTACTTTGCGTGTCGCCCGGTAGATTGAATGGATTTTGGTGACCGTAGAACCGCTCCGACTTCAATGGACGGCTTAATAAACTTTTAGGTGGAATCGCATCATAATATTTTGTGTGTAGTCTTTTCAGATGATATGACATAGAACTGCATTGTTTTGTCAACATCGAAATTTGACTGGAGTTGCCCTTTAAAGGTAACCCAGAGTTACCTTAAAAAGGGTCATTACCCGGAAGAAAAAAAGCCTTCTGTAAAAAAATTGACTTTGAAAAATTCTACATTTACATCCACCAACATCTGGAGAGTATTCCCAGCAAGTTTCATTTTCTTACACTGTATAGTTTTTTTTTATTTTATTTTTATTTTCAGTCCAGCGATGCTAAAGAAAAGGTGGAAGTTCCAGCACTTTGAATTCATTTTTCTATGTTCCACTTTTTTACTTAAATTTCACTTCAGGAAAACTATCATTTTGTAACGGGACAAAGGTAAAGGCTCACTCATTCTTTTTCCTAACTGGAATTTAATGGGCAATGCAACTGTAGCATTGCTTTTTTTACTTTGTGGATGTCTTTTATAAAAGATGTTAAGACTTTATCCACATAAAACGCAAAAAATATTATTTGATTTTTCAGCACTGTGTGAGCATAAAATAAACTACTTTTTAGAAATTTTGTTTTAACAGTTGCACTTTCCCAGCATTCTGCTGCGTATCTAGTGAAGAAAAATGTTGGGTATTTCATTATTTTTCTAACGATAGCTTCCCTAATGAATGTCAGTGTGTTCCTAATAGAAACGACTACAATTTCTTTCACAATTCATGTACACAAATTAAAACTTTGCACTGTCTTCTGCCTTGCAGGTGCCCATATATACTATATATTTCATTCATAACAAGCCAAAGGTTCGAAAGTTGACCCTTTTGGGTAATGTCCTCCCTTAAACGTTCCTCGAACTCCCAAACTTTCTCAACTGTCCCTGCCCTCAAGCGAAGTGTTTTTTTCCAGATTATATTAATAGATCTGAGCCATCCGTTGACCATGTGCCAAACACTCCCTTAGTATGTGCATTATTGTTTACAAGGTTTGTAGGCTCCCACACTGCTTTGTTGCATCAATGCGGAGACCAGGGACCCGATTTTGGTCAAGGCGAGAGCGTTCTCCGCCGCTGATTGGACGTGGAGCCACAGCTTGTGCCTAATCGAACGACTAGACATTCTTGACCCATTTGTGAGCTCACAATTGGGCAATACTTTGATGAGAATACCTCATCAACAAACAAAGGGCGAGATATCTCGCGGCACCTGATGTGCTTATCCTTAGAACTCCTTCATTTGTCAGTCGATGTTGGCTTGTGTACGGCAGCCGAACAACCCGAGATTTGCAAACGAAGTGCCGGTTACCGGTGGCCTCCAATGATAAAGGCGAACGGCCATGATTTTAGCCTACGTCCGATCTCGTTTTGCCGCGGGGCATGGCTCGTAGCGGAGAGCCAACATTTTTTCCAGTCTGTTAGCAGACAACAGGCAGTGGTTTCTCGTTCCATTTTTCGTCTGCAAATGGCGCTTCGTAGCAAAATAGCCGCACTCTTCTCTCACGGGAGCGGACGAACTGCTCACAAACGTTAATTTTGCTCACTCCGCGAGAGGCAAATTCCATCTTGCTCTCGCTTTGCAGTGACCAAAATCGGGCCCTAGATAGGGGTTCCTCGAGATCAAAAAGTTTGCGAACGTAGCGGAAAACGGGTGAGCGTTTGTCCCGTCTCTACATTCTACTCGTCTTAGTTCTTTATGCTATCTGTGTCCTAAATGCCTAGTTAACTACATTCTGTTGCAGAGTAACAATAGCAGAACAAGCTTCTTCCACAAAACCCCCTACCCTCTCCCCTTTAGCAGAGCAAATGCTGGGAAGGAGGAATCCACCAATTACGGTAACCAGAAAGCTTTCTAGGTGGAGCTTGTCCCGCCATTCTTAACCTGCAACAGACTGTAGCCCGTCGGGACGTTTTAGGAGACCATATCCTAGTGCTTTCTCTTTTGAAAGGTGCACCAGATATAACCGGTTATATCCCGGTGTATATGTCGGCCATTCTGCTGAGAGCTTCGACAGAAGGCAAAGCGTGCTGCTGACGCCTAAATAAAAACGGAACAATTTTCTGATCGTTAAGTAACATGTCAGGATGGCCTAGAAAAAAGAAGTGCTTATCAAAGGGCCCCTGAATAGAAAAGAAACTTTTTTTAGACAATCTAATTGGGACACGTGCGTATAAAAATTAAATTTACGCGAAAAAAATTTTTTTAGGGCAATATTGATGGAGAAAGATTTATTTGAAATTCTGCGCGAAGTCCATGACGTCACGGAATGGTCACAGATCCTTCCAGACTCCTTAAAATGTGAAGCATAGGAAAAAATTACTTGAGATTGATCATGCCGATCAATACTGATAAGCACAGAATGTGTGACAGGCCTTCCAGGAAAGAAGAAAAAAACATCTGCGTGTGACCCCCGATTCGCGCACCGTGCAAATGACTTCGTTTTTGAACGCTCGGGCCCCCGACCCCGCAAGTCCCAGTCAGCAAAACGCTAGGCTTACAATCTTGAGGTGGCAAGTTCAAATCCTGCTGAGGCACCAAAGTCTTTTTATATGACTTCAATGGGCATAATGCTTTTTGGTGTCACTACAGCCAGCCGTTATAGCCGAACGTTACAAAAATCCATGGAAACCGGCTGATGAAACACACTCTGCGTTAAAAAGCTCGCTCCCCTCCAACGTTGATGTCTGTAAAAACGAGGTTGAGAACTTAAACTACAAAACAGCAGTCGTTTCCTGCTCCCAGGAAGACGGCTGCCAAAGCAAACAAGGAAGGCCACCCAGGGTCTACTGCAACACGCCGTTGGGACGGGCTTTGGAACGCGGATGAAATTCATTTGGCAACAAAACCAACGCGTGTTCCTTACCTACGTCAGTCCCCGAGAGGGACGATTTCCGACAATGGCAGGCTGATAAGGGCCCCCTAAGAAAGGAAAGCAGGAAGCCATCCAACTATAGATTGCGGAAAACCGTGAAAGCTCACCCGAGTTGGCAGGGGGCGCAGGGGGCACGGGATGGATTTAACGAAGTATGAACTCACACGTGCGAACAACTTAATTGTCATCACCCCGTAATTGCCTGTCGACACCTTTCCGCTCCACGCACGCTTCCCCGGCCCTTTTGTTTGTGGAAGGTTATCAAGTAAACATCCAGATACACAATAAGGAAAAACAGCGACTTACATACCTAACACATGTAATCTGCAATTTCATAATGTAGATTACAAGCATTAGATACAAAAGAGGCTCGCTCACTGACAACACGGCTACCAAATTTGCTTTTCTAGAATAAATTTCGTGATGCCAAGGGCACCGAGGCCCCTGTGTGTCCCGTCGCCATTAGCGCGCGTTCCACAATCGCACGTTTTCTAAACTGAGACAAGCCTTGAGACGATGCTTTATCATTATTATAGTGCCCACTGTTGTCCACTTTCGCTTCATTCGGTTTATTTTGAGGAACACTTACGCCGGTCTCTGTGCTTGTGGCGGCATCCTGCCGTAAACCCGAGTTTGAGGAGGGAAAGAAAGCGCACTCAGAATCTTGTGGGCTCGGTGTCCCAGAGCCGAAGAAGCTGGAGCTCGTCTTGGACCGCTTTGTACCTCACAGACTTTTGAAAGTTGTTTTTGGGGGGGTGAATGTCAGAACTACCGGACGAACAAAGAAGAATACAAGAATGAAACCGAACTGCATTTATGCACGGTAATCGAGAAGGCGCCAGAAACAGAATTGCACCTTTGCCCCGCAGACAAAGTCGGAGGCACCGAATGTGCGAAGCGTTTGGAGCTCCACCCACCACTGAGATGACAATCATTTTATGGAAACACGAGTATGTATATACCAACTAGAACAATGCCAATCGAAGCCACTCTGACAGGGGACAAGGTATCGGACTACTGAGCAAGAGCTCGGTGGTTCGACTTCCGCCGAGAGACACAGTTTTCGGTAGAGACAACTGGCCGTGTTATTCTATTCTATTTTTGTTACAACATTTTATGGCACACTAAACTTTGAAACCAGCCCTAAAACACATTCCGTATCAAAACTGAACTGATGAGGAACCCAGAACCAAGTTTGCTCGATTTGTAACAGCTATAAGATGTATTTTTTCGTGCGGTGCGATTCCTGGTTTGGCAACATACTTGCAAGACAGCCCATTTTTCGCGAAACAGTATGTTCCACCACGATTACACGTTTTCCCTTTTATCACTTCCTCTAACAGCACATTGAGATAACGTGAATGGCTGGCCGTGACTCCTCCATCACCCTCTTTCCATCAGTCTCCTTGCCTGCCCTCCGTGTCAACAGCATGCCGTGACCTTTGACGACTGTCTGGGCGAAACAGACGCAGCTGTTACGCTATTATGCATTCAAGATAAAGGATCTTGACGGACGAGGACCGCTAAGCAACAAAGGCCGCCGCGGAGATTGTAGTGTTGGGTCACGCTAATGAGCACCTCCGAACATTGCAACACAAATGATGATAGGGGGGCATCCTCAGAGGCAGACGCATCTTCAAGGATGAGCAGAAAATCTTTGTGCCCAGTAGCCACTGCGTACATGTTGTGACAAGCATTAGAGACAGAGAGGGGGCAAAAGACAATGGCTCAGTACCCACGTCTCTGAAAAGAGAAATTGTTCAATGCCTGTACATGCCTCATTTGAAAGCTTCTTGTGCCCTACAAAGAAGCAGTCATGTTGAGTATGAAAACATTGGTCCACTAGCATACTGAATGTATCCTAAGAGGAAGAAATAGTTTCTTGAATGCATAAGAACCTCCCTTCTCAAATACCTAAAGCTAAATGAAAGGGCTCCTTAGCATCTAAAAATCCTCCAAACCTGCCATTTCCACTCACTTCAGTACTCAATGGCCACAAAATCGTGCAATAAACATATTACACATTTTTGAAGAAACATCAAGGTTATCTTGTGGCTTGTCCAAAATAATAGAAAAACCAAATTGCAGTGGGAGGACATTGTTGGCATAAAGAGTTGTTCCACTCTTTCCTGGAGTGCTCCACACCAGTGCTCATTTCCACTGAAGGAGCTAACACTAATAAATGGTTCAACCAATCAATTGATCAATCAATCAAAGCCGCATGCTACTCGGACGAGTCTGCTCCTTTTCAAACAGGAAGTTGCAAAAGGAAGTAAATTATTGGAAAGCAGCCTCAGTAGACGAGTTTCACTCCTTTTTACTCAGACGAGTTAGAAAAGTAACTAATTTTTCAAAGGAACAGAAACCTAAAACACTCTTTTTCCAAAGGTGTAAAAATAAGAGAGGATCAAAAGAAGTAACAATCCTATCTGAAGGAGTAAAAAGGAAAACCACTCCTTTTTTAAAGGCATAAAAAGAAGTAACAGTCCTTCTCAAGAAGATAAAGCAACAATCCTATTTCAAAGGAGCAAAAAACTAAAACACTCTTTTTTTCTTCAAAGGTATAAAAAGAAGAAAAAAAAAAACACTTTTTCTCGAAAGGATAAAGAAAAAGTAAAACCCCTTTTCCAAAGCAGCAAAAAAGTAGCAATGCTCTTGCTCCACTAAAGCTCATGCAGGTGTGCACCAACCCTGACGCCGGGCATGTTAAAGCAAGTTTCAACAACAGCCCACCTTGATGGTGGGGTAGGTCTTGTTCTCGGCGGTGCTGTTGACGCCCACCAGGGTGCCTGGGTAGCGCCCCTCACACTGGTACCGGAACCGGAGCGCCCGAGAGGCCGGCTGCTCCGTGATGACCACATAGGGCTGCTGCTGGGCTTGCTCCAGGGTCAGGTAGCTGGTCGGCTCCGACGCAGCCGCCATGTGGCGCTCAATCACTTCCGCTGGAGCGTGGAGAAGCGAGACGCACAGGGGACAAGATATCGTCAGACTCGTCTCTACGCATCAACTCATTCCACTCCGTCGTTAGGAGCTAGTAGTGCCCGTGAGATATCGGGAGACATAACGCAGGTTCAGAAACATTTGCATCAAATGCATCTACAAGGTGTTCCAAAAAAATTGAAATATTTACAGGGCTTTACGAAACAAATTAGCTTTTTTTTTATTGCAAAGTAAACTATGCATCCCTGAACGCTCATTTTCCTTTCAAATGTAGCCCTAACGGTTCAGAATTAACCATCACCTCATTCAAAAGTTACAAGCGATCTTTTAAAAATTTTAATGGAAAAATGGTTGACAGAGCCATCGAATAGATGAAACTGAATGGCGCCAGTCACCGAGAATGAACCCCATTTTCCCAGCCAATATTTCAGAAAATCACTCGTAACTTTTGAATAAGATAATGGATAGTCCTGAAACTTTGCCACCTGGTTGGAACCGCTAGTGCTACATTTGAGCAGAGGCTGAACGTCCGGCGATACATAGCTGAGTTATGCAATGAGAAAAAACACTGAACTTTTTGGCAGGACACGCTGTACAGTAACCAAAGCGGCAGCAATGCCAGGAGACTGGCACAACCGTAACTCACGATTGCTTCATGAAGTTATCTTTTGAACTGTTTGCCACATTGTTGGCGAGTCGTCCCGGTGAGTTTGTCATTGCTGTTTGCTTTGGTCACTCTGAACGCAATCAACGAAACCGTCTGAACCAGGCTAAGAGGGAAACAAAGACATCATTTGGAACTGCTATGATCTCTGGCAAGGTGAGAATGGCAGGGGACATTATTCGGATGGGCCGCCTCCAGCACGAGCTCGTTGCCTTCCATTAGGTGCTGGTTTTCAGCACGAGCTTGATGCCTTCCATTAGGTGTTGACTGCACGTGCACGCTAAAGCTCGAAAGACGCCGAAGTGTATTCGAAGGTAGGAGGCCCACGCGGGAGGAGGGACAAGTGGAAAACCTCCCTGCCACTCTTCTCCTGACAGTGGCTATGGCTATGGCATGATCACTTGTGCAATCGATCCATTTTCAGACCTGCATGCTTTTACACACACATATTCTTCGGAAAGCCACAGACAAGTGCAAGATATACTCTTTGATAATTTCGAAATTATGCAATGAAATCCTCAATCTGTACCTCCTCCTGCCTCCCAACATAGTTGGTAAAAGCCACATTAGTTGGCTTCCCTAATTTTGTGTTCAAGGTGAGAAGTGACTGAATCTTCAGAAACCTGCATGGGCATTGCGGGAGATCTGGCGAAGCGCATCAGTTGTCGTTGACGGAAGTGCTTGCGATGAAACCTCTAGAAGTTGGACACTTCCAAGGTTTTCTCGTAGGCTGCCCTCAGATACAGGGGCTGTACGTATGATTGGGTACTGGCAGCGGTCAATATTGCCTTGCTTTGTATGTTTATACAGCCTTGATGTTGGTACGCCTCAACTGACATGCTGCCAATCTGACCAGTCGAATTTAATTAAAATTTATTTGCCAACAAATCCAGTAAAATGGAACATTGACTCTGACACTCGAGTGACAACTTCATAATTGGGTACTCTTTTGTGCAGTCATAACCTTGTGAGAGTGTTGTCTGATAACAATGGCAGTGAGGTCCACTGGTGCCGCACTGATGGCTCATTCCCTGGCCAGCTGAAGGAACAGGTAACCTTTTGATTCAATGCTGAAGATTGTCACATTGTTTGTTTCCCAATCATCTGCTACACCGATGACAATTTAATCTCCTCCAATTTATACATGCTATACTAGGCGTCCTATTGGCAAATGGGGTGAGCAAACGAAATGGAACTTCAAAGGTCACGCTCTACTTCACAATGTCACTGTTAAGGGTACCACGAAATGAAAGTTGGCAGTTGCGAATCAGGTCACCCTTCCCTCCCACGTGCAATCCCCTCTTCAAGACATGTCTCAGGGCCCAAAAGCAACAATTGGCCACAGCTTATGATCCCTTTGTGTTCAACCTCCCGCAGGTTCGACTAAGCTGTTTATCTGTCAGTATAAAAAAATCCTTCAAAAAATCCTTCTGTTGTCTGTTCTGTTAAGAGAAGGAACCATGTAATCAGGGGGGAGATGACTTGCATGTGTAAACAAAGACGGAGGTAGGTTCTACGGTTTATAAATGTGAGGCTTATTCCGACCACCGGTTACCCAACGTGAAAGAATCATTTCGTGGTCCCGTTAGGGGCAAGAGTGTTAGTGGGGACGGTCCTTACCCACGTCATCGAGGCTGACGACGTTGTTGTTTATCATGGTTAGTGGGGGGCGAGAGGCGGCATGCGGGGGTGAGAAAGGGCGGCTGGGTCACAGCCCCCGAAAGCCTCCGACCACCGGAGAGGTTAGAACCTTGAGAGAGAGAGAAAGAAAGAGAGAGAGAGAGCCCAGAGACCAAGACACAGGAGGTCAGGACATGCATCAGATGCGCTCGAAAGGACACGTAGAGACCAACTGGGTTATAGTCTGGCAGGTTTAGAGTAGCAGCACCAGCTCCTTCCACATACAGTCCACCACTCTTTCCACCTTAGAAGAGCAAAAGCTGGAGAGGAGGAATCCTCCAATCATGGGGAGAAAAGTGCTACTTGTGGGACGTGCCTGTCCACTAGTCTTAACCTGCCACTCTGTCTATCCGCATACATGCATATCATGCTTCATACTAAGAGTCGGTTACATTATGGCGAGTAAGTTACAACCACCACCACAATTACTTTTAAGTGGTTCACACGTTTAAACAACTTCAGAGTCAATTACGGTTCAGTTTGGTTTTGGTCCAACAATGTGTAATGACGATACTGCGGATAACCAAACTATAATATAATAAATACCCTGTAAACCTGGGGCCGCGGTCACAATCATTGCAACAAAGTAGTAATTACTGGACCAGTTGGTAGTAATTGAACATGGTTAAGGAAAATCAGCTTAAAAAAAGAAAAACAGGGACAACAGACGACACAAACACGACGGGATGAAGCTCCGTCCAGTCGTGCTTGTTCCTCCCTTCGTCCCCGTTTTTCGAAGCCGATTTTTATCAATCATGTTTAACTAAAATCATTCCACGAGTTTATGACCGAAGTTAAGTTGGCTAAAGCCTGTCATCGCAATGTGTTGACTGCCTGAAACATGAAGATAGTCAGGGTTGATGATCAGAATTCGAGTAGAGTTATGCAGCTCAGTGAACGTTGTGGGGCATCGTTTCTAACATGCCCTACGACTTAGACGTTAATAAGATCACTGCTTCGAAGTTGAGAACTTTTGTTTAAACCCCAATTGGCGTTAGCGACCCGTCAGACAAACGTTTCCCACGAATCAGACGAGATAGGCAGATATTATGGATCCTGATAACTCAGCCGATCTCTCAAGTGGTGATACTGACCGATTAAACCAAACTGCTCTGCGTTCATGATCACAGCAGCGTGCAGACTGCCACAACTATACAAGGTCAGTATCACTGATCACAAAAGACGCAGCATGTTGTGATCGCCTCCACATTCGCCAAACTGAACAAACCTATAAAGAATTCGTGACCTTTGAACAACAACTTCCGATATTCGCGGGGTTTCTGATAGTTGCGAAGTTAACCCGAGTTGTAAAGTCTGGTACTTCCAGCTAAAGGTTTAGAAGGCTGTCCACATTCGCAGGCGAACTGTCGGAAAGGTTTGTATGTTTTTTTACGGCAACTGACGCTCCGTTTTTGACGGGCAGACAGCGTTAGGCTTAGCAGCGTCCCTCTGCGTGCAAATCGTGCAGTCAAAACAAGCATTCACGGCTTACCCGTTTAGACGGAAGCTTCGACGGAGAAATCGCTTATCAGCGGCACACAGCAGCAGCAGGCCGCATGGGGGTAGTACTTTCTTGCAGAGTTGACGCGTTGGATATCCGTGCGAAGAAACTTTTCTTTTTTTTTCGTTTTCCACAATGGGTCGCCGATCTTTGACTTTTAATTTTTCCCCAAGTACACCGCACCGCTGACACCACCACAAGAACGCCGTTGGCACGCCGAAAAGTTTCGGGGCTACAAATCACGTAACGTTGCTGCTGCGGATCGCCATCATGCATTCCCCCCCTCTCGGCCGGTGGTCGGCGCTTGCTCCTACAACCAGCCCTTTCCTTCTTACTTTTTTTTACTATTTGTTGCGTTATTCTGAATGACTCACGGTTATAGTAAATTTACAACAAAAAACGCGTTCCGTCAGGCGGACGACGCGCGAACGTGAGTAGAGTTTCTGGGAAAAAACGCTGCAACGCGCGTTCTGATTGGCCACCGTTTGCGATGGCCGCGCTCCGGACGGTCTATACAGGTATCTAAGTTTTCCGTCTCGTTACGAAGCTTGTTTCTGGCTAATATATATAAGTTTCGGTTTAAACGTTATGACTTCATCGCGATTTTACTTTTTTCAACGAAATATATCACTTCAACTGGTCAACGTTTTAACTAAGCAGCTTCTCGAAAGCGAAAGTGCGTCCAAAGTGGAGTTGCATGGTACCAGATTTCTGTATTTCCCCAGCTGTATGAAACTGGAACTTGGAGGCGATGACGTAGGATGGACGCATGTCGTCTGCCCAGTCTTTTGCACTTCCTTGGGTTTTTACGCTTTTACTCCGTCGGAAGAGAGGGACGTTCAAAAATTAGCAAGTCCGGATTGAAAGTCGTTTACCTGCCAACATTCGCAAAGGAGTTGGGTTTTTACCTGCTGCACTGGAAATAGACTCGAATTAAAGACACACAGACCCGGTTGGCTACATATTGCCAAACACGCGCTTTTATCCGAATTCGCCGACTGCTGGCAGCAACAAAAGTTTACCTTGGCCCCGACCTTGGTCATTCTGAGATATTATACGAGTGTTTTATTTTTATTATTATTTTATTTTGTTAATTTTTAAAACGTCCGCGTCAAAATGCAACCATATCCGCGTTGGGCGCCAAAACTGTTGAATTGTAGTGCAATGCGCAACAATAAAACTACTATGCTAAATAGTTTTTTTTTTTTTTTTTTATAATTCAAGCGGCTTATGTAGCACTTGTTAGCCTCATTGGTCTAGGTGTGTCTACAAATAAAAGCTACCTGTTGGAAACACGGCAAAATAAATTTACAATTTTTTTGTTGTTGTACATTGTCAGGTAGGTGTGACGACAAATATTACCTCTTCAGTACAAAACTCGTATATGCATTGAATACAAAAAAAAAAAAAAAAAAGACAATTGAGGACTGAACTTATTAGTTATGCTGAAAACATTACTTCCTTCAGAAGTATAAAAGCTGGTATTGAAACAATTCTCAAAAACACAGACTACAGTCAGAGTTATTGTAATGGTTCATTCAATACTGTTTTTCTTTCCATCTCATCATTGTCTCATGACATATTAAGAGCATGTCACAAACATAACGTAGGTTCCAGACGTAAAAAAGAAGGTGATCACAGCATAGCATGCCAGTTAGCACGTCAAGATGCAGCAATGTTGGGAAACAAATAAATACCAGACCATACAGGTCTGTTGATCATTAGTGCAGTATGCTTGGGAAAAAGCATCGGCAGAATGCTAAAAATATTTTAATAAGTTTCACCATGCTTTCTCTGCTAAGCATGTCCTACCTCACTCCTTTATGTAAACTTATGCAAGGCTCTCACAATATTTTGTTCAGTCTACAGGGGCTCATTTTCTCAGCTTATTGTTGACGAGCTGGTAGGGATTCTTCGACCCATTATCCACCGCCCTATCCTCGAGAACGTGTTCATGGCTTACCCAATTTTAGATGCTGCCCGAAGCATGGCACTCACTTCTGAAGTTGAGGAATCAATGTGTGGGTGTACGTGGAAATGAAATCGGACATGCAAAAAGTTTGTAAAAAAATCAATCAGTTTATTGCGCCATCTATATAATATACGCCACAATGTGTAGTCATGACACACACATTGTCAGCTATCCACTACTCCCAGCAATCTACAACATTCTATAGTGCTCATTTCCAATATTATTGTTTGTGTAGTTTAGTGGTGTATGACTTACCCTGAATACTGTATCATTTCCAATACAATCTTTTTGTGCGAGGGAACATGGAGTTTGTAAACCCGTAGAAAATCTGATTTACCGACAAAAGTGTCCGTGAAATGCGGCAGCCTAGAAAGGGTGCAACTCTTAAATATATCGGTAAAATGGAGTCTTTCACGAGTTGGCACTATAATAGACAAGTATGCTTTGGTTAAGGTAAATGCGAGAAAAAACCACAACGGACAATAAGTAGTCGTAAATCTCGCGTAGAACTGTGCTTTTCGACGGAGCGCAAGTCCAGTAACTATAAATAGTTTAGAAGTCTCGTATTACAAAAAATAACCAGACGTTTTATCGCACAATTCAGTGACACGGGCCCCTCTTCGCATCATAGTAGTGTCGCGATAATAACAATCTTCAAATCACAAATATATTACCGATGGGGCTCACAATTCACGAGAATACACACTCTAAAAAAATAAAAACCACTTCGAAACATAAGAAAAAAAAGATGCAGCAATCTTGCAGGAATGTTATGTCAAGAAACAATGCACAAACAGGACTGATGCCTCATCCGTAAACCAAAATTCTTATAAAACCCCACAAAATAAAGGCCCCGTAAATCTTACCCAAATATATATGCATACGTCATGTCCATATAAAAGAACTCAACACCTTCGAGTTACAAAGTGGTCGAAATAAAAAGTCAAAAGAAAACCAATTTTCGAATAACCCGACAAAATGTAACAAAGAAAAGCTTAGGAACCATACTCGCTAGCTTCTCTACCAAAAAAAAAATCAAAATAGACAAGTATTATTTTGAAAGCATACAAGAATTTCAAGAGAATTATGTCCTGCAGCTAAAAAGTCTGTCGCTCAAATGCAGGAACTGCAAGACACTGCAGAAAATATGAGTGCCTTTCAACAACAGCCTCACTTGTTCACTTTGTTTTCACGTACGACTAACTCCTTCGATGACTTGTTTATGCTTGGCAACATACGTTGTTTGATGGGTCCCCAGAAAAAAAAGAAAATTAAAATAAAATAGATTGGCTTTGCGTCGCGAGAAATCCCGAAATGAAAACGGAGTTGTCGCCGCCAGAAATTTGTTCTTCGCATCCGCGGCGTAGTTGAGCCAGTCGACAAAATCGTTCCTGCGTCGCCGACGGCGTTGCGATGTCTTGGGCGTGGTCAGGACCTTGACAGCCCAAGGTCACAGCCTCCCACTAGAGGGGCTGCACGTAGTTGGCCGGGAAGAGCCCCACCTTCCCGTTGCACTTGCCGCGCCACCAGCCCTCGTCGATCTGCAAAAACATTGTTGCGAGATGAAGCCAACTATGTCATCGATGCCACAAAACTCCGAGACACTTCCACAGTAGATGAAAGATTTTGCCCAACAGTTGTGAGGTGTACGGTAGGGATGTGCGAGTAGGGATGCTTCAGTCCGAATTGAACACGAAGCGAAAGGTTCTCTAGTACAAATAATATCTATTCGAAATTGAATGACTCCGAAGTGAAGCGAATAGTTTGCGGCCGTCAATTCGGTCATGGTAGAGAACCCACCAGAGTAGGAAACAAGCAAAAAAGGAAAAACACGAATAGGGCCTGTAGGGATCTCTACCATGATTGTTCACCAACTCACCTGAGCAATTAGTACTCTTATTTCAACACAGACGTGTCTCATTAATATGGACACTTACGTTTAACAGAAAAATTGTCCTCACTATATAATGATCAAGAGTGGCCACAAAAAACACAACTTTCATTCTTTTTATTTTTCTTGTTACTTTGAAATAAGGTGTGTTATGCAGCATTTCAAACTATGGAATACTTCGAAAATATTCAAAGTTGCCAAGTAGCCCTATTGGATTCAAATTTTAGATAGAATATGGCATTATTAGCTTCCAATATTCTGAAGTTTCGAATGCTTGCACAACCCTAGTGACTGGGTGCGAGTGTATGGCATTAGGAAGTGCCCCTTTTGCGAGATGGCTAGCAGAAACAACGTAACAACTAGCACGCTTTTGATAGTGTTGCCCCCAGGATTTGTGAGATGAAGTTGGCCAAACGAAGGATTCTTAATCTGACAATAATGCTTCATTTGGAATGACACCTCATTTATCTACCGTAACGAGCCCTATAGGCTTCCGGCAAATCACGTGACTCGCACGTTTACCGTCGACGGTGCTCACGCAAGCCACGTTTTCGTGGTTCACGTAAACGGTAGTTGTTCGCTCCTCGAGTAACTGCTTGTCCACAGTGCAGCGGCGAAAACTGGGAAACTGTCGCATTTCTGAAGTATATGTCGCGGTTTCACGGTATATATATATATATGTGTTTCCTAAGAAAAAACTTCAGTTGCAAGTAGCGCTCTGTGTTGTACGTTTCTTTTACTTGTCCGTTGTTTTTAGCGCTTTTAACCTCACATACATGGGAAAAACAGTCTTTCAGGAGAGGTAACACTGCACTAGTGGTAAAGACGACGCAGTTTGTTGATGTCGACCAACTCGTACCTACGACATAAGCACCCAAATATAAAAAAAGAAAGGAGTCATAAAAAAATGTTTTGCCATCATTTGAGAAAGGCTTACGAAAGTTTTCAGGCACAAATGACAATGTTCTCAGAATGCGCCAAAAACAGTCCACCCACCGTCTCAATGTCCGTAATGATGTCGTCGGGATCAAAGGAAATCTCGTCGTAGTCGGCTGCAAAAGAACATCGCATGGTGCGTCGGTTGTACATGACGATGTATAAAGACACGACATGGCATCGACACGTTAAACCACCTTTCCAGACACTAAAATTAAAAAAAATGTTGCTTCTAAGCTTTTTTGATAAACAGAAAAAATAAAAGCTTTCAATAGGCTAGGCACGAACCGTGGGGCCAAGTTTTCTCTGCTTTCCTTCGAGACTTTGTAATTGCACGAAAAGAATTTTCAAACGCAGCTCGCAAACGTGTTTCTCTCCCGGAATTTATTTTCCGAAGCAAACAGCCAGGAGCAAGACCAGAGTATAGCAACGTGAAAGGCTTCCTTCAAACACTGTAACGAGTCCGTAATTCGGCGACAGCTTACGTCGAAAAACACCGAAGGCAGACGCAACGAAAGGCCGGAAAGGGTTAGTTTACAACAGAGAACTCTTCGGAAAACCTCGAAAAGTAGCAGCTGACAGAAAGTTACGTCCTTCGACAAAGCGTTCGTCGCCCGTTCCGGTTGTTTCGTACGAAACTAGGCTGCCTGAGACGCGTCTTGGACTGGTCTGTTCATCGCGTCCAGAAAAGTTGTCCCTCCATTTCCGCCCGACGGCGTCGTAGAAGCGCCATGCTGTCGCGGGCCGAGAAAGACCGGTACGCGGGCGTACCAGCCTGGTAGTCGTAGAGCGCCACGGCCGAAATCTTCTTCTCGTCCGAGGCGGGTTCCAACTGCTCGTAGATGCCCTCTTCGAGCGACTCCCCTGGATCGAAAACGAACCTCAGCTCAAACACGATTCGCCAAACACACCGAACCACGGGTTCTCGAGTCGCACTCCTAGGAACCCAGACCCAGGGTATCCTCGTGGGTTCTTTGCAAGCGCAAATTTTCTCGACATTCCCTGCCCCTCGAGTGAAGCGTTCCCCTTTAGCTTTAGCTCACATCAGCCACTTGTTGAAGCCAAACTATAAGCCAAACGCTACCTAGCAAGTGCACTTTCTTTGCACTGTCTGTAGTCTGCTGTACTGCTTTATCGTACCGACACTGACCAGGAGAGTTACCTCTGTTGGCTGCCGTTCGAGGCAGCAGTCGTGATACTTTGCGATGTAGGTGAGACACCCAAGATCACATAGCATTACTGCAATGTTATAGTTTGCACGAATGTTTCTGCGACATAGAAATTTGTTCCGTTTGTCTGAGGAAAGTTTTCAATGACTCTCCCTGTAAGCGCACACTGTCAGAATAGACCCTTTTCGAAATTGTGAAAGGACGCATAGATCATGCGCAGTCGCCATTAGTTGATCTCGTTGCTTCCGGCGTCAAGCCCGTGATTGGTTTCGAGTTTGCGCCGAGCACTTACGCGGCACTCGTGTGGAATGTGTTACGATCCGAGTACAGTCCGAATGTTGACAAAGCCCTCGTGTCCAATGCATGCTCACAGTGCATGAGCAACTAATGGTAGCCGCACATAATCTAAGACATTCTATGTATTATTCCGAAATTTTGAAAAGGGTCTATTCTCGTCGTCCCCATAAAATACCCGTAGAACTGAAAAGTGGCGCAAAATACGTCGAAGCCTCGGAAAAGACATTTTTAGTAAATTGGTAAGCTGGGAAATGTGGCGATTGCTGAACTATATGAAAAAGTGTGTACGAAAACGGGGAAAAGGCGGAAGAACACTTCCCTGCCGTGCACCGTTTTTCACCGAGAATTCCCCAGAAATTGTCTACCTTCCCCTAAAATCCCTCAACCCTTTGAGAGTTGTCGCCGTACGTGCACGTCGGCGATTAAATGTTCGAAATTTTCCGCCTAGAGGCAAAACCGCGCGTGTCCCAGGAGGCGCTGCCATCTGTTATGTTTCTGGGAAGCCACGGGTGCTCAACTCACGTCGTGCTTCAGTTTGGCGGGGGTTCTCGCCAGATTTCAATTTGCCGAAACCGAGCCGCTGAAGAGCGTCTACGACGTCGATCCCTCCTCTCTGCGCCGGCTCCACAAAGGACAGGTCAGCGCCCACGGAAGCACAGAGCAGAAGGACCGACGTCAGAGACGCTCTTTGGCGGTTCGGCTCCGGTTGGAAGACGTGTCTACAAGGATTACGTTCATCGGCCCGTGGCGCCCAGTAAAAATTTTTTAATAAAATATTTCATGTCGCGGCTAGATTACACCGTGCCAAAAAAATAAAAATTAACCGATTCACCTTTATTTCTGGTGGCCCCCCTGCCCCCCCCCCCCTCCCCCAACTTAGGCCCAGCACTAAACAAAACCCCTACTGCAAGTTCCTTTGACCAAAAAATTCTGAACCCTCTAAAAGAGAAGTGCTCTGTATATTTGTTTGCAAGGTCCATGCACGGTGCTAACTGATTTGTACATGCATGTTTGTGCGCTATTAAGGCCGTTTCACACGCTCGCGATCGCCTACAGCCGAGGGCCGTAAACCTTATTGACTTGTTACGGCCGAGAGAACGCGCTGCCGCCATCTGTCGGCTTGCCGTGGAACCTTCGGCACTCCCGTACAGTAAAATACAGAGCATGCGCTCATTCCGCAATAAGCGCCTGCCCCTCGATTTCTTAACATTTTCCAAATAGACGGAGGATATATCGTTACATGTTGTTGACCTAAGGAGCGCCCATACCCTAGTTTTATGCAATTATCTCAATATTTTGAATGGGAGCTTGCTCGAGATTTTACGGTATATTTCTTTTGTTTTTCTTCTTTTTTCGTGCATCATTTTTTTTTTTGCTTTAAAAATGTATGACAATGTTCGAGCAACCGTTATTTATATGTATTATATGTTTTCCATCTCGCAAATACGGCGAAACGTGAGCTGTAGTGAAATGCAGTTCCAGGGTCACCTAATAGGTGGCACCAGCATGCCGTCATGTTCCAGTATCGCGAGAGATCGCAAGAACTCGGTCGAAAGCAGGCGCAAGTGTGTGAACGGGCCCTCACTGCGAAGACTCGTAAGCTGTTAACGAGCATAAAACAAAATATTATAAGCATTGACCGATCGCTCGAAAGCCGCCTCTTTGAAACAAAACACGGACCTGGCCCGGATTCCGGACTGGATTCGGACTCCACTGGCGAGTGGTGGATCTGCGGGACGACCTTCTTGGGCGGACCTTCTAGCGGCAGGGCCGGAGGAGACGAGCCTTCGGGGAACAACGCCGCCGCACCCGGAGCCCGAAACGGAACCGGGGTCGGAGCGAAAGCCGCGGGCGGAGTCTTTGGCGGCGGTGCCTGCCGGTCGTCTTGGGTAGGGGAGACGTCGGGACTGCTGTCCGGCTTCGAGGGCACCACCAGTTCCCTCGGGATCACGGACACCCTGGAGTGGTCCTTGCGGGTACCTGGCACTTGCTGCACGCAGAGAGACGCGAATGAGAATCAATTCATGCGTGTACTGAAGACTTTCAGACGCGTTAGAATTTACTGCCCCGGCGCAAGCAGCAGTCATTCGTTTGGACGGTCGCGGTTTGGACCGGACCGGCTTCGTGGGGCCGCGGCGCGGTTTCCGCCATTCTCTTTTGCTTTGTTTGTTCGCTCGTTACGTCCACATTTCTTCTTAGAAGCGGGAAAAAGTCTTCTGGCATGTTTCTAACAACGTGCTGCAGAAGCGGGAGAGGAGATTGAGCGGCCGTGGCACAACGCACGCGACGATGCCCGAGAGGAAAAATTGGCTTTTCTGAGACGACAGCGTGTGGACTGTGGGTGGCGATCGAGGAAAGCCGCGAAGGCTGCATCCAAAATTTCCGACGCCCAGATGAACAGACAGGCCCTACAAACCCAATAGTTTGTGCACTGCTGCGAGGTTCGAATTCCCGTACATCAGAGTCAGAACCCCTGCACTTAATGCTAACGCATTTTGTTGAAAATCGGCGTAACGACAACGGCAATTTTGGCGTCGCTTTTTAATCTACTTCTTTTGCAGCCTCTTCTTTAGATTGCCGGGCACTGTGAATATCCGATTCACTCGAGAAAGCAGGCGAGCGAACCAGTCGCGACAGTTTTCCATTCCAGCTGCCAGGCACCGCAAAATTTGCCAATAACCTTCCGGCAGTGAAGAGGAGGTGCCCCCGTCAAGTGCTAATCAGCGCGGCCGGTGGTCAAAGAGGGCAACTTTGGGCAGGCCGTGCCACCTTACAACTGGGTACGAGTGCAACGTAGTGGTTCGGCCGGGTACTCCGAAATTTGAGCTCGACTTCAACCACAAGCGGTCTCAACGTTGCACAAACTTTGCGTAAAATGGTGCCACCGTCGAGCCAAACCTCATTGCTTGTTCAATATGGCTATGGCTTGTTGAAACAGCCAGCGAAGTGGGTCTAGCGAGAGAGTGGGTGAAGCGAGAGGTTGCGACCCTCTTGCGAGCGTACAGGCCGGATGAGTTCGGCGTCTTCCGGTCGACTCTCAAACAATTCGTCGTCTGCCGAGTGGTCGCCCTCCAGCGCCCTCTGCTGCTCCTCCAGGGCATCTATCCGCTTGTGCTCCTCCTTCAGTTTCCGCTGGCGTTGCTGCACGGACGGGCAAAGGAGAGAGGTGTGGCTAAGACAGCGACTCGACAATGCGGCAATACGCCGTGCAGGAGCACGAGGGGGAGGATACGGGACGAGGAAAGATACGAAGGGGAAGGAGATGCGAGGTAGTGCAGGGGAACGGGGTGGAAGAAAGATACGGAGCGAAGCGGGGATACGAGGAAAGGTGGCGATGCGAAATAGCAGAAGGCCCTCAACGAGGTGGGGGATAAGAGATGAAAAAGATACGAGGTGGAAGGGGATACAAAGCAGTGCAGGGGAGTGAAGTGGGGGGGAGGTACGGAACCAACAATGGGCATCTGGCACGTCCCAGGGGAGGACCGAGGACTAGCTTTAAGCAGCTAGGGGTCTTCCGATGAGCAACTGAAATCTTGGACGGTTACACGGCACCCTCTCCGTAGCAAGGCTCTGTCAGACTGCAAGCACCTCGGCAGTCGAACCCATGACCTGGGGATGTGTAGCCCAGCTCCTTGCCTAGACGGCTTTGAGGCGCCAGATGTTCGTGCAAAACGAGGAAAGGTACAGAGCGAGGTGGGGAATACGAGATAAAAAAGGTACAAAGTAAAAAGATGAGAAGCGGTGCAGGGGTACGAGATGGGCAAAAGATTGAGAGCAAGGTGGGGTACGAGGTGGGGATACGAGATGAGGAAAGATATGGAGCGCGAGGATACGAGGAGACGAGAAAAGTAAAGGAGTAGAGTGGGTATATGAGGCAGGGAAAATACGCAGAAAAGAGTGGATACGAATGAGACAAAATACACACAGTGTCCATTTAACAGGACCCTGCAATCACTTCTAAACAGCTTCCAAATTTGCACTGAAGCTTTCCTCTAGAAACATAAGAACACACCGGAAAGAAAGAAAAATATCAAGATTTTATAAATGACGAATTAGCATTACAAAATCAAGAGATTAAAAAAAAAATGCAATCTATAACTACAAAAAATAGGTTCTATGACATCTATGGTCTTTCTTTCAAGCAATCAATAATTTGAAAGATTGCCTTGCCAATCAGCAGCAGACTAGCAGTGTACTGGGCCGTTACTTCAAAGCTATCAGAAAGAAAATGTAGAAGGGCATCTACACGGGCTAGTTGGTGTATAGAATAGAAGCGCTAAAAAGACAACGGACAAGTTAAAAGACGACGAATACCACAGACCGCTGTGTGGTGTTTGTCGTCCCTTAACTTGTCAGTCGTCTTTTTACCGCATTTATACTACACCATAAGAAAGCTTTGGCAAAGAAAGGAGTGAAACCGCAGGATGGGCAGCGCGGCGAGGACGTCCACGCTCCTTCTCCCACCTCTTCGGCCTTCTTGGCCTCCTCCTTCTCCCTGCGGTCCTTCTCCTCCCTCTTCCTCCTCTCCTCCTCTGCATGCCTCCTCGCATCCTCCTCGCCTGCCTTGGCCATGTTCTCAAAGCGGGAGCGCAGGCTCTTGGCCCCACGCTCTGCTCCCACCTCTGCAAGACCCATTGGCACCTTTTTCAGACAAAGGCAAAGGGGCAAGGAACAAGAAACCTCCAAAGTTTCGCACGTCCCTCCCACTTTATCGCGATTTTAGAGAGAAACGGTCATAACCCACACTTCACTAAGCACTCTTTTCAAAACCATCTTACATATCATTACATACCAATCATCAACTAAAAGTTTGGATCCCCCATTGCAGCGCATCTATTTTAAATGCCTTCTTGCCCCAAACCACAATTTACTGGAATTTGGAATCGCCTTCCTGCAGTCGTAGTTTCAATTACAAACACCGCTCATTTTAGAATTGCAATTACTGATTTCTTAAGGGGACACGCACCAGGGGAAAATATCTTTTTATTTTTTAAGATCCCTGGATTAGATCTTTAAAGATTATAGATTTGGTGTTAGTTTGGATATAGTGACAAGGTTTTTTTACGTTCTGTATGGATTGCACATGCAGAAAAATACCATGTTATTGCGGACAAATGGGGCATGGCAACACATTTAAAAGAGTCTAGTAAAATAAACCCATTCACTTCTTTTAACCCACCGAGTGCAATGAAGAAAAAAAAAATAATAATGTGTGCCGAGTGCAATGAAGAAAAAAAAAATAATAATGTGTGCGAGATTTATTTTATCTTAAAATAATTGAAAATCCCGAAAACACCATTTTCGAAGGGCAAACGAAAATTTCCTAAATTTTGTACAAATATTAAAAATATATCTCTCTCACCAAACCTTGATAGTTGCATTCCACACATCCTAAAGCATGCCAAATTTGGCTGTGGTAGGACAATACTAGGGACAAAAATTCTTGTGTGCAAACCTAAAGATGCCGCAGAATTACATAAAGTGAAAAACACGTTTCAATATTACCATAGATGTAAAGCGACACTCTATAGCACGGAAAACACCATTTTGTTAATATTTTTCGAGAGAAATTGAAGCTACAGAAGACTGCGACAGAGAGAAGATGGCTAGGTCTACTTCACAAAATTTCAGGCAACGTCACGATTCGAAGAATTGCACAAACGAAAATGGCTCAAGTTTATGCAATTTTGGATTGCGGGAGTTCTATGGATGCATATCTGACTAATTTTGCAATCATAACCGGTCCTTGTTATTTTTATTCATAAGATATACAAATTAGTAAATAGTAAAACACCATAAAATCCGTAATCATTTTCTTCAAAATGTGGCAGTCTTTCAACTTGCATCTCCCCTTAAATGATGTTTCGTGAAAGTTTCACACTTTTGCCTTTTTATTGCTTTTATTTTTCTATTTTACGTTTATGACGCAGAGCCCACTGCTCTCTGTAATGCCTTCGCGCCCCCGAGAGAAAAATGAATTATACGATGTTAAATAGACCCTTTTCAACAACATTGGAGGTCGCCATTTTTTGGGCGCACAAAGCCCGTGATTGGATCAAAGTCCTTGCCGAGTGTTTACGCAGCACTCGTTCTCTGCACTAGCTGAAGCGAGTTCACGCCGAACACCAACGCAGCCCTCGCGTCCAATACACGACCAGAGGGCGTGCCCAAACAACGGCGGGCTCGGATACTTAGCGCCACAGCCACTAGATGCCGCACGTTTTGGAAAAGGGTCTATTTATCACGATGACAATAAAGAAAGAGGCGTGAGAGCTCACCGATATCAGGCTTTGGTTTCTGGTATGCGGGCTTGGGCTTCTCGACCTCCGCAAAAGGGTACGCGGACTGCACATGAAACAGACGCAGAGTGACGTCAGCCCCGTTCGCATCTGGGCTACAGTCCGCACCCAGTGTTGTCCTCCTCCCTCTCCTTTGAGTACTGACACCTTTCAAATTTGTTCAACCCACAGTCCGCTTTAGGCATCAACCTTGCCTTATCACAAATATCTAAACCGCATTTTAAAGAAACAGAAACTATGAGGGTTTAGTTGCCGAATATTTGCTGCTTACGCTATACTGTCGTTTTCTTTTGTTGTGACATGTAGAGCACAAACAAGTTGCCGAAAGGAGAGGCGCTCTGTCATCCCTAATCAAGGCTGAAAGAATTGTCCAGACCCTTCACGAAAACTAATGATCGGGACTAATAATGTCGTTGCTCCGAAAAATCGCCAAATCAGCCGTTTTTCCCCTAGCGAAAAGAGCAATCAATCATCACAAAATTACTTGCAGAAGCAACCAATAGCTCGTAACCTCAAATCTAATGGACGTCGTACAAAGTCGCTCGTATTGTGGCGGAGATGCGGGCAATGGTCTGTCCTGGTGTAAGCTGAAACGTTAAAAGCGAGTTTCCTCCACCTCAAACCCCTAAATAGACCCGTTCCGAAATTGTGAAATGATGCATAGATTATGTGCAGTCACCAATAGTTGGTCTCGTCACTTCCGGTGTGAAGCCAGTGATTGGTTGCGAGTTCGCTTCGAGCACTGACGTAGCACTCGTGTGCAATGCGGTTCGATCCAAGTACACTCCGAAAGCTGACAAAGAGCACGAGTCCAATGCGTGCTCACAGTGCATGACCAATTAATGGCAGCCGCACATATATTTATGCATTATTTCAAAATTTCGAAAAAGGTTTATTAGTTAAGATGTAGAAAAATTACCCTCGAATAATTTTGGTACTTAAAACTAATGCTTCCAGTTACCCGAAGCATTATTTAAAATCGCAGGAAACGGTTTTCTGTCCTCCAGAAACGTTAAGATGTTCCATGACGGAGCAGATTGATGTCTGCCTGAATTTTCTGACACCGTGTTTAAGTCACATTCTTCTTTTAATTGCAGCGATCGCTGATTGCGCTTACTCTGGTTCGAGCGCCAGAATGGCATCACCCACTGGATAATTTGGCAATGCCGGCGCCGTCTATCAGGCGACACTGGGACTACAGCTCACTAAAGTGAAGGTATCGCGGCATTTGCGAGGTTGAAACATACATACCGTCTACAAGAAACAGTCGTATGTAACGTAGTCAAAAGCGTTTCGAGCCGAGAGAGGAAGAGTGACGCGCGAAAAGAGTGGGAAACAAACAGAAATCCCTAGGGTTCCGCGGCTCCCCGACAGACGGCGCCGGCGTTTTCTCTCGTCGCGAGAGATCCCGACAGGGTTTTGAAGTGCGTGGACGTAAGCGGTCGCGAGTCCGCCGACGAGCCTGAACTTATTTCGTGGTTCTAACTCTGTCGTTCGACCCCGGGGAAAATCTCGTGAAAGGCTGGTTATGGCCAGAGGCCAGGGGAGGCACGCACCTTGTCCTGCTTGTCCTTCTCGATGCCAAACTTCCCGCCGAAGCCTCTCTTCATGTCCACCTGGGAAGGGTGTGCCTCTGGCTTGGTCACCTCCTCCCAGCCCAGGGCGCACTTGTCCTTCCGGTCCGCCTGGACCCCGTACTTGCCGCCAAAGCCCTTGGCATAATCTGCGCGACCCCAGGCAGTCATGCATCCAATTTGCCGTCGCTTCGTAAGTGGCATCGGATGTTAATGATTGAAGAGAAATCCCCAAAACAGAGTTTGTTTATCTATCTACTCATTCGAGGAATGAGGCAAGGAAATGTATAAACGTCCGACATAGGAATTACACGCAAATATATAATACAAACTGCAGACATTCTATTTTAGAGGGAATATTAGTTGATGTCATGGTTAGTTCAAGCAATTAATCTAAAGCGCTACCAAATTATTCGGACGTAGCAATATGCTCGCGATGCTAGGAGAAAATTTGTTACAATCGTGCATGCACCTAGGAGAAAATCAAACATATTTAGAAATGTCTTTTCTGCCTAGAAACTCGAGAATATGTTTAGTATCATGTATCTGCCTCGTGTCACGGCTGTTATTGTACTTTGAATAGTCACCAAACTTTAACCCAATCTTGTTGCAAATCCTGCTGACGGAAATTTTGCACGGTTCACTTTTCTACGCTCCATTTCAGGTGGAAGTCAATTTATTCTTGTTTAGACCTTCTCCCCCATGGGGGTTTCCCTAAATCAGTATATCCACCCTATTTTCAGTACCATTTTCTGCAGACCATACATAGACAAAAATCTAACTTTTTTGTTTGCAGTGCGGAATATCTAAAGGCGCGGAAGATGCCAGGATTTGTTTTTCAAGGTTGTTCATTATGACGAGAAGTTTATAAATTTTCTGGGTGACAATATTTATTTATCCATGACAGAGGCTTCTTTGGGAGCTAATAAAGCGGGCATCTGTCAATATGCGCTGTGCATAAGAATTTTGTACCTGCAGACTATGTAAGGAAAAACTTAATTTTTTTTCCAAACATAAACGTGCTCTTGGAAACTATACACTGCGAGCGAAGGGAAAACCCTCCACTTGGTGGCAACTGTTAACATCCATTTGTTCTGACGACATTTAGCTTCCGGTTAGCTCGGTTGATAGAGCACTCCGCTAGTCTTGTAGAGGTCCCAGAGGGCGCCAGCTGTGACGTCGCACTATATCTGATGTCACAGGACACCGTGATGTCGTACGGCACCATGACATCACGTGACACCCGAACTCAACATCAAGTCCACGTGACGTTGCATGGCCTTTGCATCGGTTAAGCAGGGCGCCTTTCTCGCGAAACCCAGCAACCGTAACACACCCTGCATTAAAATGAGGACGCCACAGGCCCCCAACACCGCAACACAAGCAGGACCCTAAAACACATTCTGGGTTAAAGTTGCAACACCACGGGCCTCACACCGCAACACAAGCAGAAACATTCGGGGTTCAGCTGGGGTTAGTCAGGGTTAGGGCCGACCCGGGGACCGCGTGGCTCCGGGCACGGCCTCCCGTGGCTCCGCCCCGACTCACCCTTCTGGGATTCGTGCTTCTCCAGCTTCTCCACGTGGTCCCATCCCAGGGCAGAGGGGTCCTGCCGGTCGCTCTGGACCCCAAACTTACCGCCGAAACCGTGCGCATAGTCTACGAGAGGACCGCACACCCGGGGAGGCAAGAGTCAGGACGAGGCTCCCTCGTATACGGGGTGGGGCAGACGGTGCGTTGGCCCTTCCAAGCGACCGCGTAGATTAGTTTCCTAACGGATTACACTGCGATTTACTACAGAGGTGCTTCTAGGCGGAGCATTTGGTATTTGAAAATTCGAAAACACAAGCTCTTGAAAATTCGAAAACACAAGCTCACCCGAGTCAAGAAGAGAAGCATGAAGTTTTTGTCTCTAGACTAAATGTCCAGCTAAGCCTTTTTTTGTTTTTGTTTTTTGTTTTGGGAATTGATCAATTGGCGTTGGGGCCATTGCAACATTTGTTACGATGAAAAGAAATGGGTAGAGAGAAGAGGAAATTAATGTGGCTAATATTGTATCCCCTTCATTTTGCAAGATAGATGCCACAGTGGACCTCCGTCTCATTTGATGGTTTCTCAAGAGTTAGGCTTATAGTCCTTCGGAAAACAATGCTGTTCCTTTGTCATTCTTTACTCGGGTAAACAAATCCTTCAATATTTTGACAAAAAAAATTATCTAATTACACTTTAGTGCTAAATTACACTGCACTCCGTGAGGAAACCAATTTATGTGGTCCTTTCAAAGGGCCGAAGTGTCATCGGGTCCACCCTGTAGATGGCAATTTCCCCCTCTCCATAGCGATCAGATGTCTCTACAGGTCACCCACAAGTAGAGAATCTGGTACTCAGTGTATGATAAGAATAAATAAAACACTCGCCCAACTACAAACCTTTCTCAATGTATATTTTCCCTCCTGCACCCGACGGAACATCAGAGGTCATCCTTTATGAATGACGCTGGTGTTTGTTGCAGATTGTTTCTATGGTTTTGCCTTAAGCTTAGAACGAGTGAAAAAGGTCCAGTCCAATCTTGAAGCAAAGAACCATCTATTTGAATTGTAACTTGTTCAGTAATGCTGCAATAATTCTGCTTCCTGCTACAACAGAAAAATAAAACATTTGAGAGTACTTCTACATCTCTCCGAACTAGCGTGAGGGCCGCATTTCGCAACCATCCGAGCGGAAAGCCCATTTTGGCCGTCACTTCCACTTTGTGGATCACTTCTTTCGTGCCTATAGTGTTATGTACCACAATGCCACATGTTGGCAGCTTTTCTTCCGTGCCTACTTATTTCGCATACCCTACATTCGACTGCTGAATATTTGTGCATTTATGCATTCCCATTCTTCGCTCGTGTACAAAGCAAAGTTTACCGAATAACTGATCAATCCGCCGATTGAGAAGTTTGTTAGATATGCAGTGCACGCCGGGGTCTTGCTCACCCGTCTGAGACGCGTGCTTCTGCGTCTTCTCGTGAAACTCCCAGCCCACGGCAGACTTGTCTTGCAGTTCCTTCTGCACACCAAACTTGCCACCAAAGCCGGTACTGTAATCTGCAAAAAAAAAAAATTGAATGAAAAAAATATGAAATAATCATTGAGACAATGGTAGGAAGGAGCTTTAGTTGGCTACATCTCCCTCGAGCGTGCATGCGCAGCCAAAGCATTACAAAGGACAATGTGCGCGTGCTGAACGCCAGCCTTCCGAAAGAGATGCCCTGCCATTCTCGTTATGTCAGCGAGTACAGTTTCACTAACTGACAACAACGACAGTTTGGTAGGCATGCAAACATTGGCCCATTGGCCCCATGCAGCTCCGCAACATTAATGTTTCGGTTGGACAAATCGCTCCAGCTGTTCAATTTCCAGGTGGAGTCATCCCTGAGATCCTCCGCGGCTGCCGCCTGCTACTGGACTGCTGGGCCCGCGGTGCGACCGTTGTCGGTTTTGGGTGCTAACGCGTGGCGACAGACAGTTCCCTCACCGTTGGTCGTGCACGGGTCTTCACATCGACATGTGAGGCAGTGGCATTTCGATAGACCAGGCCAGAGAAATAGACCAAAGAGATGAAGGCAGACCCTCACCTTTCTGAGAAGCATGTTTCTGCAGAGACTCGTGATATTCCCAACCAACAGCCGACTGGAAAAAAGAACAAAAGGAAACGACATGTTATGGGTGGGACTATCAGATGGGACAATCAAATCATAGTCGTGCAATTATTAACGTCACAAATCGGCACCTGCAATCTTTTTTGGAAAAAATGCCACCCTACGCAGATGTGCCTCCATGTAATCACCAACATCCTGCACTATTGGCCACATAAGATGGCTGTCCACACGTTCTATACTTTGCTTCCTGTCACATGACGCTAACTCCACAACTGTTCAGGGGGGCTAAGCTCGCCTCCGGCGGGAATCTCTCCGATGCCACGTCACGAGGGAGGGGAGGAGCTTCTTTTGACTCCGCCCCGGCGATTCCCACTCCCCCTCTTACATTTCCGACCCCCCCGGTGGCGGCGAGTTCCCCAGCATAGCTCCGATTTTTCCCTACGCTCCACAGCGAAGGGTTTTTATTTTATTTAAATCGTGGGATCGGTGGCCGGCTGGGCTAGCGCACACCAGCTCGGAGCACGTCGAGCGAAAGGCCCGTTGCAGAACCCAGGATGCTGAGTTCAATCCCCACCCCGGCCCGTTTCGATGTTGATGAGCATCGTACTGGCGTGCAGTCGTGTAACACTACTGCGGGATGGACGTTAAAGACCCCAGGCTAGCGGTTGTACGGCACTGCATGGCTAAATTTCTCATCTACAGCTGGGAGAATCTTCCCCGTTGAGGCAGACCAAGTCTTAGGTAGTATCAACATACATACAGCCCGATTTTTTTAAATTTAAATCGTAAATGACAAATAAGAATAGGTAACAGCAGGGATGCTAATTATACAAACATTGCTTGGATATGGGCTAGTTGACTAGACATTGTGATGGTTTGCTGCGCCACGTAGATGCAAGAAAAACGCTCTTGATAAATATAAACTAAAGCAGAGTATAGACGAAAAACAACATACAGGAATGGCGCAGACTAACAACTGTGTAATTTCTTTCTCATCTTTCTCACCCCACACCGCCACACACCCACAATATATATATATATATTTTTTTTTTTTCAGAATAGGGTTTACGTGGAGCGAAAGCTCGCGCTGCAGAACCCAGGATCGTGGATTCACCCCACCCCTGCCCTTTTCGATGTTGATGAGCATCGTACCGGCATGCGGTCGTGTATCACTATTACGTGGTGCACGTTAAAGACCCTAGGCTAGCAGTCATACTGCACTGGCTAAATTGCTTATCTACAGTAGGTGACAATGTCGCAATGTTCTGGCATGTTCTCCTGCTGTATAAACAACTAACGGCCAATTTGTTTGTTAAAATACGGTGTGGAAGAAAAAAGATGAGAAAGAAATTACACTGTTGTTAGTCTGTGCCATTCATGTATATTGCTTTTCTTCTATCATCTGTTTTAGTTTGAATTTTATCAAGTGCGTTTATCTTGCATCTACGCAGCACAGCAACCCATCAAAATAATTGTAAAAGCCTGTAGGTAATGGTAAATTGCGTTCCTGGTTGCAGATTGCCGTAAAAACACATTTGTTTCTAGGATTCACTTTGTAGAATTTGGATGTAGGATTCACGAAGGGGGCGACGGTTCATTCACGGCTCCATCGCCTCAAGCCCGGTTCGCCACGCAGTTCATCGCACAGCCACCTTACCACGTCTTTCGAGAGGCGATAGTGTTGTTGAAAATGAACGTCGTCCATGTCAAACACATGGGCGTGGTTTAGATACCTATGCCGACGGCAAAACACGAACGAAAACGCTGCCATTTTGGACGCTTCTCCCTGATCTCGCGCCCAACTCGCCCAAACTCGCCTGGTCGGAGCCGGCAAGCTTTTCCCATCCGCGGCGGCTTGTGCCATGTCACAATGACGTCACCGCATCTCGCCGCGAGTTCCGAATATGCAACTCTCCGACCGCCTCAAACCCTCCGTTTAACGTCACGATCTAGGGAGTGTCTGCGCGTGTCGTCATGCACGGCGCCGACCAATCGCGGCGGTCGGAGAGTTTGGCGTAGAACTCGCCTCGATCTCGCCGCGCCGAGCTTAGCCCCCCAGTGACCTTGGTATGGTAAGAACGCCAGTTCACCCGCATTCTTCGAATGTAGCCTCAAACAAACAAACAAACAAACTGTATCCAGGATGTCCTCCTGTCCTAACACTCCCCGTTCTCTCCAAACAGTGACTGGGGAACGAATCGTGGGGGGTACATAAAACTGGAAATGCAAGCCATTGCACAGTTTTCATAAGCTCTTTTTTTTTCTTCTTTTCCTTCAAATTGTGAAGCAAGTTTCGGGTTTTGACGTAGCTGAGAGGGCATCCTTTCCCGTCTTTTGGCACCTTTATCCGAGACTTTCTGAAAGTGAATCCCTCAGCTGCATCGGATTATGGCTGCTTATCCTCGTGACAACCGATCACGAGTGTCAGTGGTGCTGTTCGTTACAGACCAAAAAGCCCAATCCCGAATCTGGCTCGCGTTTCGGAGCTTGTTTTATGCGCTCTCCGGAAGATGGCAACGCTACCACCACTGCTCCCTCTCCTTCAGGTTATTTTGTCCTTTTTGAATTTTCACCACAAAAAGTTTATCTGCAATTGCAAGGAAAGGCAGGCATCAATCTGGAAAGTCGCCGAGGAAGAAATACAGAAACTTTTATTTTAAAGCGACGAGCGTTTTCGACAATGAGTCGTACAACCCCTCTAATGGCTCAGAAACTTAATTCAAGGTTGGCGCTTTGTGCAACAATGAAGGAAACATTCAGTCAGTCTCCAGATGTTATTTGTTGCTCTCCACCTTCAAGAATATTTCTAACCAGGACACCATAGTGAAGAACTACTGAATCAACACATCAATTAGTCAGGATTAATTAGAGATAGCAACAAACAACATATGGAAGTCAAGGGAATGTTTTCTTCAATTTTAAATCAAACTGTAAACTTTTCAGTAAACTTTTGTGATATGTTTTATAGAGAAACAAAATAAGTGTGCAATGGGTTGACCCTTCGATTGGACTGGATTGCACATAGACAAGGGAAGTAAACACAGGGAGCACAGGGTTGCCAACCTTGTCCTGCCGGTCCTTCTGGACACCGAACTTGCCGCCGAAGCCCTTGACCGAGTCCGTCTGGGAGGCGTGCTTGTGGAGGGACACTAAGTAGTCGTTGCCAACAGCAGACTGCGGACAACCGCGGAACGGGCAGGTTGGGGCCAAACAGATCCGAAAATGCCGTGTCACAAAAAAGCAAAAAACACTTTGGAGGTGCATCAACACAAGACACATCAGACACTGGCATCTTGGCAGTTGGCGAACTGCGTTTGTACAGACCCAGTGGTTGCCCAAAATACGTCCAAGAATATCCAGACCTTAAAAACTCTTTCGATTGAATTGTGGCAGCTTAACCCCTTGTATCAGGCAATCTGTGTAAAAAAGCTGGATCTAGCTATCCATCCATCCATTCATCCATCCAACCAAAGGACAAGGTTTTGAAGCACAGTCTCTAGATGGCTCTTCAAATGAAAGAAGCAAACTTAAGAGCAGAGAGGGTGTTTCCGCAAAAGTTCCCTAACTGGCTGGATATAGTAACGTTGCTCCCCACTCAGCGACATTCATTTTTTTATTTTTTCAGTTTAGGAACAATTTAGGGGGAGCACGCTACTCTGATAATAGAACATTTAAGCCCCTAAAGAAGCCGACAAAAGTCACCTTGTCCATGCGGTCGTTCTGAACGCCAAACTTTCCACCGTAGCCAAAAGAAGCCTTTGGCTGCTCCTCCAGAACCTTCTTCTTGTATGCAGCATCATCCTGGGTCACTTGCTCTCTCAGTTCCTGTATGCTGCATGCAGACAAAGGTAACTAAGATGCACATTTTAGGGGGTGAAATCTTTTTTTGCAATGCCATCAAGCACTATCTGCATCTCAATATTCACACAAGGTGTTAGTAAGGCCCGCTTCAGACGGGGCAACTTTTCCAGCAATTTCGGTGTTGCTGGCAGGTTGTTCCCTAGCTTTCCCTAGATCGACACGAATTGCTGAGATAGGGTCCGGCTCGAACGAGCGAGCAACTCGGAGCAATTCGAAGACGGTTGAAACTGCTGCAGCCAATCAGGGACGCAATATTTTCACGTGACACCACTGTGGTGGTGATGATGACAGCTATAAACTTGGTTCTGGTTTGAAATGGATCATTTCTGGAAACAAACCTTTTCAGAAAAATTAGTTAGTAATCTCAACACCATTCAAAAATATAAAAACATGTTTTTAGCGCGTAACTATGCGTCTAAATAGTGTAAGAAAAATCAAATTTCATGATGATGATGGCAAGTCGTAGCAATTCGGTTGCTGCGTATGAACGCGGGCGGCCCGTGTTGCTGGAGTTGCGATGTCAAGTTGCTGGGTGAAATTGCCCCGTCTGAAGCGGACCTTAGGGATTGGAAGGAAGTTGTTCAATCTTCACGTTGTATAAACCATTCCAATATACACCTTCTACAGGCCACCACCTTTTGTCTACACCAGGGTCGCTGAACTCGACAAACACAAAGATTCTTTGTGATACGACATGTTAGGGGGGAGGAGCTGAAAGATTGCCGCAAAGTTTTCTCTCCTCACAAACCCAAACCGTAGATCCGTTTATCTTCGCGACGTTTTTCATTTAAGGGGCGAAAAATCCCTAGCACTCCCTAGGCACCGAACAAGAGCAGCACGAGAGAGTGCGAGGAGACGACCATGGTTCATACGTGTGGCGTCACGACAAAGATTATTAGCTGTAACCGACATGTTTGATGATAAAAAAAAGCACGGCAGAGACTTGGGATAATAGCATTTTAAAATCGGTTGAAGTTGACAGTCTGATATCATTCTTATTTCCGCGGATAAAGCAGAATTTACTGAAAAACGTTCCTGCCGTTCCTTTAATTTCTCTCGGCCTTTTGGATATGATAGAAATGTAGCCCGACGTGGCTAGGTCGGAACCAACCGAGTAGCGTTGTCTGCAATCGGGCAGATTTCGCGTCCGGGAATTGTTCCTCCATCAGCGGGAGAAAATAATTTTACCGCTTTTTTCTAAGTCGTGACTATTGGCCACGTAGGCTACCGAAAGCATCGGTGCGGTTGGCTAGACAAGATTAGTAAACTGGGATTAATTCTGCTTCTATCAACGAATATAAGAGTAATGTCAGGTTGTCAATGTTGACGGCGATGTTTTAAAAATGCAATGACTCCAAGCTTCCATCGTACACATTCAAACTTGTCACCGTCGATGCGAACACGTACCATAGAATTTGTCGTTCACGACTGATAATCCCGACCCCGACATCAAGATCAAGTGTAAGAGCTATAAAAGGATGTCACTGAACGTGCCTGTACACTATGAGCCCTAGCACAAGCCTCTCGCTTGAAAGTCCGTCGCGGCCGCTCACAAGTTCATGGAACGTGAACCATTCTAATTCCAGAACCTCTAGAAGGCTTATTTCGAAAATTGCATGCTGTGCAAATTGTGCTGTGAAATGAACCGTTCTAGTTCCAGGACCTCTAGTAGCCTTATTTCGAAAATTGCATGCTGTGAAAAATGCATGCATTCTCGTCGTCGCTTAGTTGGAACGCCTCTAAGCAGGGGTGTCGAAACAGGGGGATGGGGAGATCGGGCGATTTGTCCCCCCCCCCTTTCCCAGTGGCTTCGGAAGAAGGTGCAAAGGGCATAAAGGGGCAAGGAGGGGAGGCAATCGCCCCAGCCCATTGCCTCCTATATAATGCCCCAGACATTTCAGAAATGCATAAAAAATTTGGTGGAGGGATACCCCCCCTTCTTTACTACCATCACCCCCCCCCCCCCCCCCCTTCTCTCTCTCCCGAACATTTTCTAAGGCTCTTCCAGACTCCTTTTTGTGCGTATGTGTGTGTTGGTCGTAATCCTATTTTCCTTCCGCTGGCTTTTCCTTGCTCTCCACCGGCTTTTTCTAGCCCTCCACCGTCGCCTTCTCACCTCTCAGACATTACCGACGTCGCTACACAACGCCCCTGGGTGACCCCGGTAGCATTGTTGACAGTGGCGGAAGATGAGCTCCAAAGCCGCGTACACACCGCTCATGGCTCCACAATATCACAAAGTTCAAACCTTGATTCCGAAGCAAGATTTTGGCCTCAAATAACTCCTTCCCAAAGTTAAGAAACGTCACTTTGTCATCACCAATTACTTTTACAAACGACAATCTCGCGACGAGAAAGTTCAGACTATTTAAAGCCTGCCTGGGGACAATCTAGACAGGCACAGATCCTAATGCTGTGTAGGGATGCAGGGACACGTGGGCGCGACGTCGTCAGTGCGGCCGTTTAATCAACCGACCCAACGGTGTTGCTGGCGCGTGCTCCGATGAAACTCGCTACGAGTTTGTGTTTCAAAATCTCGCTGGAATTTGAGCACAGAGATAGTTTGGATGATTGAAATCTCGTCCTGCGTGACGCCGTCGTCACGAGAGTCCAATCAGCATGGTCTGCGAACTTCGGCCCCAACTACGTGTTTGACGAGTTTAGCGACCCTGGCTGTGGAACACATTCCGAAGCATGGGACCTGCAATGGCAGACGCCGTTGCGGACGTCCGCGGCCCAGTAACTGCATATTACGCCTGGGTGGTAACAGGTGGAGACGTCTATGCCTTGGGAAATTCTCAGGGGGGAGAACTGGATTTTGCTTGCAGACGAACACTTGAGGAGGAACTTCACCCAAATTCTTGGGACAACAATAAAAAAACTTTAGGGCAAGGGGGTTAGGTTAATTGAAATTTTTGCCTACTTTAAACAGATATGAAGTTAGTTTTCACATCAATGTGGGGCCATGCTTGCAATACTACAGCAGTACTGTCCACCCTTTCCAATCAGTAACAGAAGTAATGTAGGCGTTTTCAATGCAAGCTTTAATTTGTTCCAGTGGCTCTCCCACTACTTTACAACCGATAAAAGTAGCCATGTGCGAATAGCAGATTTTGAGTTCGAAGCGAATGGTGGTTTGGCCGAATATTTTTTTAATGACAATGAATACATTGGGCGCACGCACGCACTATCCCGCTTTAAAAGTGTGCTTTTCTCCCAAGCACGCAATTGCGATATTCCTGTTTTTCCGAGTGTAAATCGCAGCGGGTTACCCCGTTGAGTGCGCTTCTTACGGAGAACCAATGCACTGCAGAGAAGGAACAACCGCGGAGGTCGCTTCCGCCGGTGTTGCTTCTCCGCAGCGCACCCGCACACGGTAAAAAGCGCGCTCAATGGGGCTAAACCAATACGATCAACACTATAAAAATTAGAGTATTACAATTCATTTCTAAGCGAATATCTAAAAGATTATGCTCCAAAAGTACTAATCGGAATTTCGATTATTCACACAACACTAGCGAAATGTATAGAACAAAAAGAGGCAGCTGGTATTTTGGACAGAAAATTGGTTAATTAATCAATGAAATGACTGCACGAAAGGTACTTGCCAACAATGTTTTCAATAGACGCCAACAGATGAAAACAAAAATAAGTGTGTGCACTCAATATACAAGATAGGCAGCCATCCACCTTTTCCCAAATACGTGCTACCACCTATGTGGACATCTGGGTTCGAGATTGAGTGGCTACAACACAATGCATTCGTAAGTCTTGTCCGACTCATTTGACCGCAGTATTTGGGTACCTTCGTAGCATATCCAAGATTTCTAGCCACATATCTTTGGGGTGATCAAATCTGGTTTGTGTTTGAGGTGGACCGCTGAGTCGTCGCACTTCAACAGTGCGAGCCCCTTTAAGTGCCACAACATACCTTTAAACAAACCCTACATTGCTGCGACAAATGTTCAAGCTGCTCGCCTTACAAGAGAAACGCTGTTACGATAGAAGGTGAGAGCCGACATGTTACGGGTGAAAACTATCTAATGTTATAAAATAAATGACAAAGCATTCAATTAAAAAACATAGGCTCACGGAGTGACGACGCCATGATTGTTGTTTGTTTATTTCAGATACCTGAGCACCAGTGGCGTTGCAGGGGTTGTTGCTTCATTCTTTCCACACGATCAAAGGTGTCTTTCTCCTTTTCTTTTCATCAATATACTCGCGTGTGCCTCCTCACATTAACGTTTGAGGAGGCTGAACAGCTTGGTTTCAAACGAATTGGCTCAAGCAAAAAGAAAAAAGCAACATACAAGATGGTGGATCTGCTTTGGTAGTAGGCAATCTCGAACCCAGGAGTCGTGCACTGCGTGCATGCGTACTAGACATTTCGGAAAAAGGTCCATTCTTACTTGACAGCATCAGAAACATGGCCAGAACCTTCCACAGTCTTGGAGCCCCATCTCTGTTCTTCCTCCGTCACGTCATTCTGTCACGCAACATGTAACGATTGTCTAAGCTTGCCCATACTGTCAAAAAGAACACCTAGTTTTTTTTTCGTTTTTCGATTACAGCTTTTGGTTTCAACCATTATGTTTACCAGAAAAAATTTTCAGCTTGAGTTCAACAATGTTCCAATAGAAAGTTCAAAAAAAAAAAAATCTACCAACTAAAAGGCAACTGTAAAACAAAGCACAACTTAGTGCTTCACATGCTAGACATTAAGAAAAGAAAAAAAAAAAGGGGAAGGTTGTACAGTGAAATACCAGGAGAACAAACTTCAAGAGACCTCAAGAACAAGTTTGCTTAAAGGCCGATGAGCAGCCAGAAAGCAGACATTCCCCCATTTCCTCCTCCTTTTTCCAAAAAAAATCTCGGAGACCCGCTACTGTGGGGAGAGGAGGAGAGACGAGTGCAAAAGGTAACGGAGAGAAAGAAACAGGGAACCGGTTTTCTTTACGGCAGAAGACAATTCTGGAGGTTGGCCTTTAAGTGAAACTACACTGAACTGAAGGCAGTGGACACAATGGGATTTTGCTAGAGGATTTTACAAAAGGTTGTTCATCCAAATAGTACATTCAGCCAGAGTCGGTTCAAGTGGTATTTCACCATATTTGGTCGATTTCTGTTATTAACATTGGCTTTGAATTACAACACATCCCAAGGCAACAACTTCTGAACGCAATTGTATGTGTCTCCAAGTAAGGAAACAGAGGCCCTGATAATTTTAATTGCAGAGATGTAACTTATAGGGAGGAAAGGTAAGTGTTCCTTCACTCAACTACTGTTTGCAAATAGAAAGACAGAAATGCTTTGCCATGTCTACCTTCGCTCCGTCGGCTTTTCCCCGTCAGCTAGTTTTGACGCATAACGGTGAGATTCGACTCAGCATAAAAAAACTTTCCTTTTCCACTCTTCCTGTTTTATTCAGCGAGCAACTTTGTAAAGGAAGAAAATGACGCTTTTTATAACTTGTTCTGCATCGGTGCCAAATGACAAATGCCAGCGGGTTTTCAGTGAACTAGGTTCGAGTACTCGTCACAAGCGAGGAATTTATGAAAAAACAGTTAGGGCGCAGGCGAGCTGGTGTAGGTTTACCATTTTTTTAGACCACCTGAGACTGGGTGGAAGAAACACGACGACGTCTCAAACACAGCCGACCACTTTATTCAGTGCTCCCTCCTTTTATACATCCTGAACCCAACATCGTCACCAGAAAGGACACACTCCAAACAATGGCACCGAGGGAACACGGGACACGCTTTAACCTCGCAACTACGCTTGTCTAAAAAAAAATGAATTACTTGGTATTAACAAAAGGTACACATATCAAAACATTGGCCAAAGGAACCTTCTTTGACCTTGCAGCCACTCTTATCTTTACAAAAAACGAACAAGCGAACCACACGGAACCGACTGCAGTTCGAACCCATCAACCTGTTACACCTCTTTTTTTTTTTTTTTTCCTCCCTTTACGTATGAATATAAATGGAGCAAGATCATGACAAAGGGCCTACCTCTCGCGAAAACACAAGACCTGTTCATTTCATACTCGCAGAAAAGCTTTCGCCCTATCACTAAGAAGCATAAACGCAGGGCTTATGCAATTGCCGATCGAACTCATTTTTACTGTTTCTTTTACAACCCTTTTCACGTCGTTGACCTCTTTGCATAGTACCGTGGTACCGGACTACTCGGCTGAGCAGTTTCTGCATTCTTGTACATCTGTCACAATTTCGAAATAAGGCACTTTTATCTTTACGTTTCTTTTGTGCTCAGTTAGACGACCGTTCAAGCATCTTGAGGTCTGCCCTATATACCCAAAACCGCAAGTCATCGGTATGTCGTAAACGACACCAGTTTCACAAAGCACAGGTTTTTCCCTTTTGACCCTTTTGATACCCTTTTTTCTCTCTTTGGAACGGGGTGAGGTTGACCAACTTAAAGTCCAAGCTGAAGACCACATTAACGCCAAATTTTTTTGCACACGCTTTAACATTGTGTGACACGGTGTGAAAATAAGGCATCACTGCGATCCTATTTCTCGATTTGTCCTCCGCCTTTTCCTTTTCCTGGTTCATTAAGGCCACTTGCCTTCCAATGAAATCTTCCTCGTAGCCTGCGTTAATCAACCGCTGCCACTGCCCTCTGACTGCCTTAGCCATGAAATGAACACAAGACCTGTTCAGAGCATTGGTGAACAACAATCTAACGACACTCGCCTTTAACGTCTTAGAGTGGCAACCCCTTTTTGGGAGTACTGGTTTCGGGGCATCTTTTCCATACTCCCAGCATAGGGTTTCACCCACATGAAGTTTTAGGTCCAAAATCTTTAACATATCATTCGTTGGTTTTTCCACTGTGAACTTCAGTTGAGGAGCTGATGACACTATTAGTGACTCTAGCTTCTCCGCAATTCCACTCTGAAAGGTGCACACCACAATGTCGTCAACATATCTCATGACTATACAGCTGCCCCGACGGCATTTTTCCTAGTCCTTCTACCACGGCAGAATCAAGAGAGTTCAGGTATATCTCCGCCAAAGCTGGTGCCACCGATGAACCTATGCACACTCCATCTTTCTGCCCAAATTTTTGTCCATTGTATTCAACCACCGTTGAACGGAGATACAAATCCAACACCGTCAGGAAACAATCTACCAAAATGCCCGAACCTTACTGGAATTTCACGAGATTCTCCAACGAATAATAAAGGTCTTTTATGTGCATAGAAAATATCGAGCACTTCCTGCAATGATGAACCTCAAGGATGTCAATAAATTTGTTCGAGTTTCTCAGTGAGAGTGTATCTTCAAGCTTAACATACTCTAACCCTTGTTGTAGGAATTTAGGCACCACTTTCTGCCAAGTCCCGTTCTCGTTTATCGTTGTGTGGAAAGGAAGCTCAGGTTTATGGTCTTTTAGAAAAAATTTCAGGCTCAATGTTGAGTGCTTTGAGCTCAATATCCTCTCTGCCATCCCTTCAAACTCCTCTTCTCTAAGAATCCCACAAATTTCTTTTCTCACCTTTCCCACATTCCTGGCCTATTCCACAATCAGGGAATCCAACGCCTCCTTTGCTTTCTTCTGGAAAACCGACTTGGGTAAGATTGCAAACTTCCCAGTTTTGTCCGTCTGGAACACATCTAGCGATTTACATTCCGACTCGTTTTATACCGCTTCCGCTTTACCGTGTCCCCTTGGTGCCATTGTTTGGAGTGTGTTCTTTCTGGTGACGATTTTGGGTTCAGGATGTATAAAAGGAGGGAGCACTGAATAAAGTGGTTAGCTGTGTTTGAGACGTCGTCGTGTTTCTTCTTCCACCCAGTCTCAGGTGGTCTAAAAAATGGTAAAGGAATTTATATTGAACATATACAAGACGAAAGATCACAAGGATAAAAATCGTGACACCCATTACACAAGAGAAAAAAAAAAGAAAAAAAAAACCTTTCCACTGTCAAAATAATGACAAGAAAATAGATAGGTCACTACGAAGCAGAGCTGTGCTGTAATCACGACACACACTATGCCGGCTATCTGGGCAGCTAGAGATTCGAAAGCCGCACCTTTTCCGCCCTTACGTAATGCCTAAAAGAAGAGGCAAGCTATCAAAGAGACGAAAGAAATGACAGCCGACAAAAGCCGCTCACGCGAAAACATCGCGGTGGCACGTCGGCACTACGTCGGATATGTCACGCAGAAACAATCGTGACGCTTCTCTTTATTTTTTCTCGCGCAATACTAAAGCTTATTTGCACGTTTCCAAAGGCGATAGCTATTACGGGCTCGAGTTTTGTGCCGAACTCGGCGAAAACAACAACCGGCTTGATGGTGGCGAAAACTCACCACGAAATCAGGGTCGGTTTCCCAGTCGTCATCTCCCTGGCCCGGCTGGGACTGGAGGCGGAAATCGCTGGACACAGCCGCTTTCCAAGTCGACATTCTAGAAGTCGATTTCGATTCTCATCAGCAACGGACGCTCGATACCTTAGTCCCGAGCACGAAACTCTTTTTTTCGTATACTTGCAGGTCTCGACGAACGCTCTGCGATAATGCGACACAGTCGACACACCTTCCGTCGGTTCAATGACGCACCCGCTCTTCCGATGTTTACTGGTTTGACGTCCCCTCGATCTGCCGAATACCCCGACGACAAGGCAACAGCAGCTTGAGAAGAGTGTGTGAATGATAATCAAAGCTTACGCGGCTTACGTTGGAAACGATGAAGCTACCTCTTTAGAGCCTCCGATGCCTCAACGGGCCGCAATCTGACAATCTACCGAAAACACAAGCTTTCGAGGCAAGTCCACGACGGAAGTGGCGTTGCGAACTGCGCGTTCAAGATTTCCGGTTCTGCTTGTCCTGCCGTTTGAGAAAATGTAAACAATGAATTTACCAAAAATAAGCCATATGAATCGATTTCGTTTGCTTCGAAGCAAACTTCTATGCAGGTCTGATTAAGCGTAAACCGCGGTTAATTAAACCTACATAAAAAGATAACGTTGATAAAAGATTTGTTTGTCCTCTGTTCTCTAATAACCACTCATCTCCTCCTTGGTTATGGTTATAATCATAAAGTTATTATAATGTATCGTTATAATAATAAAATGGTCCAGTTTTCGATTTTGTCGATTGACCACTAACGCCACTAGCCACTACAGGTATGACTAGTTGACTACAGGCTACATGGGCTACATCATGAAAGGAAAAGGAAGTTTGCACTAGAGCACTATATAGCTCCTACGGAGCAGAGTAGCGCAATCCTTTGAACCCCGTGTTTTGCCGACAACATGGCCGACAGAGCGGCTCGGCGCGAGTACAGAGGCTAGAAAGGGTTTCCTAGTGTCGTCAACGCGGCCGAGGAGCGGCAATATTTTGCGATGACGCGGGCAGGTGGCGCTGCTGCCTGCAGGCGCGCTGTCGCTTGGCGGTAGGCGCGCGGTTTTCAACGGGAGACGCGTCTCCGGATGTAAATGTGTGGCTGTTGTAGCGCTCGCTATCGTTTAATCTTCACGCACGCATATATATATATAAAGACCACTTCTCTACGAGTCTTGCAAAACCTCTCCGCTTCGGCGGGCGTTCTCCGCAGCGCGCTTGAGACAGACCGCGCGGAGCGGTGCGGTAAAAAGAGAAGCGCTTGAGTGTAGTTTCATCTGCTGCACGCGCTCGCGCCTTTTATGTAAGAAAGGTTGGAAGTAAATCGCTAAAATGAGATGATGACGAGAGTGTGTGCAACATGACATTTATTTTTATTTTACTGATCGACCGTTGCAGACGCCAGCAAGCGCAGCGCGTGTAACAAACAACCCCTTCATCTCCTCATTGCTCGGGAAACGAATTAAAGGTATATTCGCGCAAGCAAAGGAAAAGAGCATACAAACTTGCGAATTATCCACAAAAAACATCACAAAGCTAAATGTCTATTCCAGGTCTTTGTTCGCGAAAAATTTATTTTGTGTGCTCTGCCTCTCCAGTACCGCAGTCCGGTCCTCACCGGCATCGCCTCATTTTGAGCAATTTTTGCTTCTCCCTTTGGGAATCTCGATCCTTGTTAACAGCCTTAGCAAAGAAATGCATCCTGGTCAGAGCATAGAATTTGATGACATTTGCTGTGACCAAGCGCCCATGCTCACTGCAGCCAACCTCCTGCAGTGCATGCCCCCGAAGGAAGCGCAGGAAACAGATCATGCTCTTAGCATGGAGCTTGTTTCTGGTAAAGAAAACAGGGAAGGCGTTTTCCAGTCTGGTTACCAGTGCCTCCAGTGGTTTCGAAGGGTACAGCAAACCCCCATGATCGAATTCTCTCGTCAATGAGGCGTTGCCATTGCACTCAGCCTGCAGGGGCAGGACACTCAAGCAAGATGCACATTCTGGGCACGGGAGTTTTTTGAGGGACTTGCGGACAACGTAACCCGCTACGTAATATATCAGCCGACTGTCACTTCTTTTCTCGACACAGACGTGGTGGTCAATCAGGCTACTGTGCTCTTTTAGCACAACTGCGGCATGAGCCAGACTTCCCTCGTCCAACAGTTCATCAACGAGTGCTGCTACACGAGCAGCCTTTTCTTTTCCAGCATCAGATGGCTGCAAAAGTGCAGTTACAAGCTCAGCTGGCGAGTTTCCATTCTTTGGTGGTCTTGCAAGGCTGTAGAAAGTTAGGTTGTTAATAATGACCAAAAACTGCTCAGGGGAGGGGTGGTCATTACATCCAAAGGATTGTCGCACAATCCCAAAGATGTTTTCTAGTTTATCTTGACTAAGGTTTGCAGTCAACAAGTACTTGTAGTGCACTGAGGTAATCAGATAGTCCAGAAGTGACAGTGTGCTCTGTAGAGTCACACGGAGTCCAAGGGCAGTCCCTGCGCTTAGGAATCCACCACCGTGTTGGGCAGCATACTCTTCCCATTCACTTAAAGGGGCCCTGCAATCATATTTAAGCGTCTACCTTTTATGCGGTTTCCACGTCTCTTGGGGTTCGGGCAAGCCAGCGGGCACGGAAAGAGTAGCTAAATATCAGTGCGTCATATTTTAACTGGACGACGCGGAAACCTCCTCCACCGACGAGGGCGGCCCGCGGTACCGAAAGCGCGCAAAATGTGACGTCTTTGGTCCTGGGCTTACTACTGGTCAGAGCCACTAAAAACTTCTTTTTGGTCGAAATACTAAATATAAGCGGCGCGAACCGTTTCAATTATCTATGAAAGTAGTTTTTGTTCACTATTAGAGATGAAAAAAAAGAAAGAAATGCAGTTTATAAAGTACGGAAACAAGGAATGACCCGTCAACATACCCGCCGCCAAGCGGTGAAAAAGGCGGCGCATACTAGAAAGGAGTAGTGGGATAAGGCGCCGACACAGAAAAATCCCGGGTGTACGCGGTGGCGCTGCAGTCGTCTGGACAGGAGGATCCGACCGGCTCCGAGCGTTCCGAAGGCCTTCGGCGAGAGGCTTTGTCTTGCGGTTTGGCCGTTTCGCGGTATGGCAGCGCGAAGTGGCTCCCATTCTGAACTGATCTTTACCCCGTGTTTGCTGTCGTTTGTGGCCAATGAAGTGTCATGCCGAATTAGTGTTTAATCGCGCAGCAAACGCAATGAAAGCCGCTTTGGTTGCCCGCTGCATACAGCCTATCCAGAACATGCTTTAGTGGCGCCCTCTGGCGCCGTCGACACGGAGTGCGGTGGCTGTGAGCGCTCGATGAGCTCACTATTCCTCCTCTAGTTCACGGCCACTCAAGCCGGGACCTACGACGTCATGGAGGAGGTTATTTTTTGCTTGTTTTTGTAATTCTAAATTGCCTATAACTTTTAAAATAAAGCGAATTTCGCGAAAAGAAAAGTTTCACTAAGTTACTACGTTCAGTGCGCTCAGGTTCGGTGCAAATTAAAAAAACACTAAAAAGTCCTTGCAGGGCCCCTTTAAGAAGGCAATGAACTTCTTCAAAAACCGGGCACTTCCTGACTGGGCTCGAAGGCCCTTAGACGGGACCCTGGATGACATCACGAAAATCAACATCTCCATCAGCTTCACAAACTGCTCTGTTGGCTCCGTTGATCTGAACCTTCTTTCCAAGTCACCTTTATAAAAGAAAAGCCCTTTCAACACCTCTTGACTGAACAGTTGAAAAGCCAAATTCACACGCATTTTTTCAAACGCGTTCGGTTGCACATGTGCCTGTGTTATGTGTGGCATCACTTTCAGTGTCAATGCTTCCTTGTCCCTTTTCCATGCCTCTTTGATGACATCAACATGAGCATGACCACATGGAATCTGTACGCCTTTTGAGACAAAAGTATTCCGCACGCATTTGATCAGATGAGGAAAATCAGAGATGAAGTGTAGGCTCCTTGCTGTGTCGACAGGATGGGGAACCTTGCAGGTGATTTCCTTAGACGAAGCTGCACAAGTAAGGAATATCTGTGAATAACAGGAGATAAGCAAGAAAAGCCTTTCACTGTGATTCTGGGACGGAAATTATCCACCTTTGATGCCGAGCAGCTTCCAGAGACAGCGATTCCAGGGAGCACCATCACTTGTCCAGAAATCGACGAAGAGGTTGGAATTTTCAGCCAGTATCGTAGCCTCCAGGAGAATCTTCGAGAGGACAGGCGCCTTTACATTGCCTCTGGAAGCAAAGACTCCGAGGATTTGTGTCCACTTTCCTGCAAAAATAAGATGTTTCACTGTGAGAAATATCAAAATGTAAATCACGGCTTAGGCATCACTGAAGTAAATATATGTTGTAAATGACATCACAAACTTCACTAGGTGGACTAGGCTCTAGGATGTACAACAACCAAAAAAGGCGTACAATTGTATTGCCGTCACGACATACTATTTTAAATTAACTTGCCTTTAAAGGGTTGAAATACTACAACGAGGCCGTGGTCACTCAGTGCTGTCTCGTTGCTATCCTCCATGAAAGGACCGAGGTCAACGAAGCCACTCAGTTCGCCAGATGCCGTCACATTGATGTTCTCGGAGAGCTTAATCTCGTCATACACAAGACCACCATGGCGGCTGAACTCGTCCATGTCTCGTGTTTTCTTTTCCAAAGCTGAAAACACACTAGTGTTGAAACCAAACGTGCTTTTAAATCCCTGCATGTGTTTGTCCAGGCATGATTTGCTCGGCAAGGCAAGAATCTTGTGTCTTCTAACATACTCGTAGAGTTGGGGGCTTCTCATGCGCATCAAAATGCACTCCAGGACCCACTGCATGTCGTACGCCATGCCTCGGCTTGATTTTCTGGATGCCGCCTCAAAACAGGTTCTTACAGCAAGACGCTGCTTTGGTGGGAGGCTCCTGATTTTCTCCTCCAAAACTGAGCTGGAAATTGTTTCCGTGACTGTTCGAAGCTTTGCAACACTTTCGTGGGCTTTTTCTAGCCTTTTTTTCGCCCGGAACAGCTGAAGGGACTTCCTGGCAATCCGTTGCTGAAATGTCGTTCGACGTTTCTTCTTGAGCCTGTACGTCTGGTTTTGGATGAGCTTTTTTGTGTATTTGCATCGTAAACAAGCTCTCCCGTCAGGTGTTGTCACACAGCAGTTTTTTGCGAAGTGCATGGAACCAAACTGGACACACTGACCAGCTGCCACTGGCTCAATTTCACAGCCTGGGCAAAGAAGCAATTGCTCGGCCTTTTTCAATGCCCCAAGGGCGTCATCTCGTCTACTTACACAAATTTCTTCGACTTTGATGCCTCGGCAATATATGGCGCAAAGGTATGCGCTCCCCTGTGC